AACAAACTAAAACATGTATAAAAGAATAATAATAATAATAATAATTAATAATAATTTTATTTTATTATTAATAATAAATAATAATAATAATAATAATAATAATAATAATAATAATAATAATAATAATAAATGAAAATATGTATAAAATAAAAATAAAATAAAGAATAAAAAAAAAAATAATATAAATAAATAAATGAAAACATGTAAAAAATAAAATAAAGAATAAAAAATATAATAAAAATAAATAAATGAAAACATGTATAAAAGAAAAATAAAATAAAGAATTAAAAATAATAATAATAAAAAATTAATAAATGAATGAATGAAAACATATAATTGAAGATAAGTTTAATGCCACAGTCTGGAAAATCCATGGAGACAAGCAGGTCGTGGATCCTCTGCATAAAAAAACTCTGCTGATCCTGTAGTTTGGATTTGTGATTGTTTTATTTTGTCCTCTCATATTTCTTTTTCCTCAATTCTCCTGAACATGTTTAAAACTTTGAACAGAATCTTATTATTAAACTCAAACAAAAATGTCACACAAGATCAATAAATCAGAAATCTAGTCACAATTTACAATCCTGCTCAGATATTTGGGAATAATAGTTTTTGTCTCTATCAAACCTCCGGGATTTCTGCACATAATCGTTGTGTTTTTTTTTTCTTTTGCAGGAAACAGAACGGACTTCTCCAGAGCCGCCCAGAGCAGGATCATGGAGGTGATGCACGAGGCTCAGATCAGACAGAGGCTACAGGACGAGAGAGGAGCGAGGGAACGCAGAGAGGAGGAGGAGGAGGAGGAGGAAGACGAGGACGACACCTGGGTTTTTCCTCTGGTCCAGATGAAGCCTCTGGGGATCAGTTTGGACGAGCAGGTCACACAGGTGAGAGACACAGGAAAATAAACAGATATACACTGAAAATGTAATCCCCTACAGATTACAGATTACATACCCCAAAATGTAGTTTGTAACGGAATACATTAAGTTACTTAAAGTGAGTAATGTAATCTGAATACTTTGGATTACTTGATTTGCTGTAGAGAAGCAAAGACGAGGATAAAAGAAAATGAAAAGTCCAGACTTTACTTAAACATATTAAAACTATTATTGATAGAAGAAGAGGAGACAGGGTCCGTGCAGCATTGTTTAGTCCTATTAAATCCTGTTCTAGACTTGGTTTAGTCCTGCTTTAGTCCTGGTTTAATCTTGGTTTAGACCTAGTTTAGACCTGGTTTTAGACTGGGTTTAGACCTGGTTTAGACCTGGTTTAGTCCTGGTTTAATCTTAGTTTAAACCTAGTTTAGACCTGGTTTATACCTGGTTTAGACCTGGTTTGGACATGGGTTTAGACCTGGTTTTAGACTTGGTTTAGACCTGGTTTAGAACTGGTTTTAGACCTGGTTTTATACCTGGTTTAGACCTGGTTTGGACATGGTTTTAGACCTGGTTTTAGTCCTGGTTTAGTCCTGGTTTAGTGTTCGGCAATGAGTGGAATTACTGAAGGAAAAAAAAAAAGGATTATAGCCCAAAATGTGAAAACAGGAAAACACCAGAGTGTAATCTATTTATTTCAACAAAGTAACTGTAATCCAATTACCACTCACTGACACAGTAACTGTAACTGAATACAGTTACTCATAATTTGTACTCTGATTACTTAACTCCAGTACATGTAATCTGTTACTCCCCAACACTGCAGATATATATATATATATATATTATATATATATAAATATATATTATAAATATATATATATATATATATTTATATTTATATATAAATATATATATATATATATTATATATATATAAAAAAATATATATATATATATATATATGTGTATATATATATAAATGACATAATGCATTGAAAACTGTAAACATGAGTAACTGTCAAAACCAACTTCTTTTACTACAATTCTAATTTCATTTCTAGTTGACTCCATAGAGACACACTGATGGACTGATGTCACCTCAGGGTTCAGCTCCAGTCAAATGAAGCTCATAGCGGCCTGCGGTTATAGTGGCGAATCTGGAGCAGAGTTACATATTTGTAAAGAGTGAGAGTGTTGAAGTCAGCGCTCCTCCCCGTATCTCTGCAACGCTGTCAATCAAACCTGTCGCTATGTTAGAGCAAGAGGTAGCGGATTAGTGTGTTTTTTAAGTTTATATTTTGATTTAGTGACACAATGGAGTAATAAAAAACACAGGATCATGTTGAGTGGGTTAAAATAAAGATATTTATGACGGTTTTTCAATAGAAAGTCGATTGGAGCTGATGGAGCCTAAAGGTCGGTTCAGACTGGTCAAAAAACGCGCTGGACGCCTCTAGTTGGACGACTTTGCATTTGATTTCAGACACCGCCGACGTACGTTTTGGATGCCGTGGACGAATGGGAGAAAGATACTTAACGTGCATCCAGGGCGTCCGTTGCCCTAGAAACAAGTGCCATTTCCCGGTCTTTTCCCAGAACGATGTCAGACCAGGCTGAGAGAGACTTTAGTGTTTTTTTAAAACCATCAGCGGAGTATATATATTTATACTCAGCTAATGACACTGTGTTTAGTCCTGGTCGGTTTCTGGTTCGGTCCTGGTCTAGTCCTGGTCTAGTCCTGGTCCAGTCCTGGTCTAGTCCTGGTCTAGTCCTGGTTTAGTCCTGGCGTTGGGCTCGGTGGTTGCAGCATGTATATATTTATACTCTGCTAATGTTTGTGGCTCCCCACCCTTGTTCCCGGGTCTTTCTCTTTCTTCTCCTTCTTCCGTATAATAATATCACTACGTCACTAGATAGTCGTCCCTGATTGGTGGTTGATGCGTCCATCACTGAAATTTCTGCATTTTCAACTTGAGGTCGATGCCCTTGACACGCGCCACGTTGACGCCAGATTTATGTTCAGATGTTCTGATGTGATTAAACCAGCTGACGTCATCAACTGGGAATGTGACACTAAAGGCACTACTCTGTCAAGAAGCTCTGTTAGACTTTAATCTGAGCTTTATTTTAGCACATTTTAACACAATCACAAGCTTTTTCTGTTCGATAAACTCCTAAACAGAACCGTGAACGCTCGGACTGATCACAGACTCCTGAAAATGTGCTCTTTAAATCCAATTTTCTTGAGTTTTCAGACGATCTTAACACTGATCAGGCTGTGTTTGCTCATGTGTGTAATGTGTGACTATAACTGCTGGACATTCCTTCATAGACCTACATGCAGAACCCCCCAGTGTTCTGAATGACTGTCCAGTATAATAACCCCGTGTGTGTCTCTCTCCTCAGAGGTTACTGACAGACGCCGGCTCAGACTCCACCGTGTTCCTCACCTCCGGGTACTTTAACCTGACCCGCGCGTACATGCGGCTGGTGCTGGGGGCCGGGGCCCGGTACCGAATCCTCACGGCCTCTCCCGAAGTCAACGGGTTCTTCGGGGCCAAGGGGGTGGCCGGCGCGATTCCCGCCGCGTACATCCACATCGCGAGACAGTTTTACAACCAGGTGCTGCGTCTGGGGCAGGAGGAGCGCGTCCATCTGCACGAGTACCACCGAGACAAGTGGACTTTTCACGCCAAAGGTTCGTGTCACAAACAAAATCTCCAGTCTTCTCTCCATAAAAGCTGCTAACTCTGTACTTTAGATCTGTACAAAGATGTTCTGAAACGTGATTCTTGTCTTCGTTTGTCAGTTCAGATTCTTAAACTGAGAAATTTGAACAGACTCTTATCATTAAAACAGAAATCGCAACACTAACCACAATCGCAGACTTATCAGATTATATACTTTTTATCTGTATATTATATTTTGGGTCAGTCCGTGTGAAATCAGCCATTTTCAAGGAATCTCCCCTGTGAGCCAACTCAGATTTGGCTGAGAAAAACTGCAAAAAAAATTTCTAAAATCGCCAAATGAAAGAATCTCAAATTTCAGCTCAGTCCCTTGAGTCGTTCCTGAGTTTTGGCCCGTTGAAATTTTGGGGCCATGCTCACTTTTTCTGAAGCCTTAATTTATAATCACGTTTGAGAGACTGAATATTTGTATTATTGTAGATTCTTGGACATAGATTCTGAATCTGTCGTCAAATATTGTGTATTTTTATTAAGGGGGGCGCTGTGGACCCCACAATCTCACATTTGGTTGCCTCCTGGTTTTGACAAACACAAATCTGGTCACACTAACCTGTATTCACCTGAGTCATGTCTTTTAATCCGACAGAAATTGAACCGCATCAGCGACACAAGAGCTGGAGTTTTATCTTCGCTTAGTTTATGCAAATTAGTGATGCAGTTTTAAGTTTTGTTTCTGTGAGATTTGAACAAAACTGAATTAAACACATTATAATGTCAAACGGGCTGATGTGGCTCTAGAGTCGTTACGGTTTATATGTCGTAAAGTTGAATTTATTTATGCAGATAGTAATAATAATGATGATCATTTTAATATAAAAACGTTAATGATTAATCGATAATCGAGCGTTAATTCTTCCGACGATCGATTAAGAATATTTCATCGAATGCCCATCTCTAGCTTCGATACACTGAAGCGATCGACACGCAGGGCGAAGCAGTCGGGGGAGGGACCGACACTTCCACACTTCGGTCACGTGAGCTTGTTTCAGAAAGAACGAGACGCGCTCCGGAGCTCCGACAAATTTGACCGTCACTAGTTTTTATTGACTTTAAAGGATGCGTTCTTACTGTCAGCGGGCTTGCCTCTCCTCAGATTTGACCCGTAACTTGGCCTTGTGGCGTCACTGTCTTGAGATAAATAAGCGTAATGCCGAAGTGTGGGACATTCCAACCAACAAAATAACATCTTAACAGAGAGAAGTAAATGATATGAAGAATCCAGAACCGTTAAGTGAGCGCAGAAGTAAAAGTACAGGGTCTGAAAACGACTCTGAGAAGCGCAAATTTGCTCAAAGTTTCTGAAGTAAATAAAACTGAACCAAACCCACCAAAATAGAAAAAAAAAACACCGTGTTCTGACCCAGTGACCGACTAAATGTGTTTCATAATCGGCCGTTTTTCATGTTTAACTTGTTTCACGCTCTGTATAATCGGCTCGTATTAAATGACTCAAAGTTCCAGGAAAAGTCCATTGAGACTTTTTGCAGTGAAATTTTGTGGTGAAGAAGAATGCGGCGTGACTCAGATGTGCCTCAGGGCCACAGACACACACACAGACGCACACTCAAACACACGCACAGACGCACACAAACGCACAAGGACACATCTATGGGGAATTTTCTTCTGTCTGAAAAGGAACAGTCCAACAATGTTATGCAAATCAACAGTTTTTTCATTTTTTTCTGGCGTGTTTTGATGTCGCTTCTTCACCAAAATGTGTCTTGAGTTGTGTTTTGGTTCGAGGAAAACACAAAGTTTAATTCTCTTGTTCATGTGCACGCCAAAATCTGATTATAATCTGATTTCTGGAACTTGAAAGAGCAAATTTTACGACGTTTTCTGATCTACAGTTTGTTATAATGTAGTTTCCTCATCGCAAACAGACCTGGAGTTGTGTTTCGTTTCATTTCACACATATTTAACACACAAACCCTGCAGATTTAGGCTGAGCTCTTCTCTCAGGCCTGAAAACACTCAGCTCCACCTTGTGATGTCATGTGGTAAATCTTCACTGTGTTTTTAAACTCCAAACACGTTCACTACAATCATTTGGATGATTTCAAACCTAGAAATGCTGAACTAAAAAGGTCAAATCCATCCATCCATTTTCTTCCACTGATCTGGGGTTGGGTCGTGGGGACATCAGTCTAAGCAGGGACTCCAGACTTCCCTCACCCCGGACACTTCCTCCAGCTCCTCCAGGGGGACTCCAAGGTGTTCCCAGCCCAGAGACATAATCCCTCCAGCTAGGGCTGTCGCAGTAACCACAAAAATGATTCACCGCGGTATTAAGAGGTCCACAGCGATCACGATCACCACACGTGACCAACGTGACCCGACCCAGAGTCATGCACGGGTCCATTTTTAGAGACCCGCACCCACCCAGACCCGTTAACATTCCACTCGTTACTACCCGTGCCTGTGATAACCCAGGACCCCTGCAGGCGAAAGGACCGGGGCAGGTAAATGCGGCCGTCGCCCGATCACACTTTGCGGTCACCTGCGCCACGTGCTCGTGCTAGGGGCTCTCTCTCAAGTCCGCAAGTACCCGACCTGGTGCAGGACTCTGACCTGACCTGGTGCAGGACTCTGACCTGACCTGGTGCAGGACTCTGACCTGACCTGGTGCAGGACTCTGACTGGAGCTGCCACAGTGGAAGCTGGAGAGATGCAGCTGCACTTGTTACTTCTCATGTTACTTCTCTCCCGCTACACACACTATATCCACACGACAACCAAGGTACATGTGCATCTGCAACAAGCGCATCATCAGAGAGTTTAGAGCCGCTGGAAATATTATAACTCCAGGGGACGGGGGGTGTGATATCACCACATACCACTATATGTTGAGTCACTATACTGCACCGCAGGAGAAATTCCCTAACTGCGACAGCCCTACCTCCAGTGTGACCTGGGTCTTCCCCGGGGCCTCCTCCTGGTGGGACATGCCCCGAACACCTCCTGGGGAAGACGTCCAGGAGGCATCAGAACAGATGCCCGAGCCTCAGCTGCTCCTCTCAGCGTGGAGGAGCAGCGGCTCTACTCTGAGCTCCTCCCACATGACTGAGCTCCTCACTCTGTCTCTAAGGGAGCACCCAGACACCCTGCGGAGGAAACTCATTTGGAGCGCTTGTATCGGCGACCTCGTCCTTTCGGTCATTACCCAGAGCTCTTGACCGTAGGTGAGGGGAGGAACAGACATTGACGGTAAATCGAGCTTCGCCTTTCGACTCAGCTCCTCTTCACCACAACGGTCCGATACAGCGACCGCATCACTGCCGACGCTGCACTGATCCACCTGTCAATCTCACGCTCCGTCCTCCCCTCACTCGAGAACAAAAAGGTGAAAGGAGCTGTTAACTTCATGACATCACAAGGTGGAACAGAGCATTTTGAGCTTTGGAAATGTACAGACTAATAATAAAGAGTTACTCAAACATGAATGAAACAAAACACAACTGCAGGTCTGTTTTTGACGAGGTAACAACATTATAACACGACTTAAACCTCACAAGAGTTCATTTAGTGTAATATGAGTCCTTTAAAGGTGCACTGTGTAACTTTTCTTGGGGAGTACACCACATGCTGCTCGTCCATCACAAACCATCATCAGAAAAATTCAGGAAATAAGCTCTTTATATGATATTTGGGCTTGACTTTCTGAAATGAATGACAAAAATATTTGACTTTCTCATGATATTTTAATTATTTGTGAGGGGTTTTGTCTCCATGTAGATTTATTTAACTGGAATGTTTCGCAGTACGGCATTAACCTTCTCTATCTCCACGGAGACAAGCAGATCAGTTCGGTGGAAAGGCGAATCCATGTTCTTCCTGGTATTTCTGAACCATAAAATCACCTCTACTGAAACAAAAGCTGAATACTTTAATGCCATACTGTGGAACATACCGAACAAAGCGATAACATCTGCCTACAGAACAGAAATGTGACACACCCTCCCCCGGAAACGTTACACAGTGTACTTTTAAAATGACTTACATCACGCAAATAAACCACACGATCTGATGTGAGCGATCAGAGGGACCACGATCAGACAGAAAACAGAGAATTTTGCTGTAAATGTGATTAAAATTATCTCAAAAAATTCCCCAAAAATATCAAAAAATCTGGTATTATTCTGATTTTGAGAGCACATTTTAACTGCAGCTCCTGTCAGAAGATTTGTGCTTTTACAAGTGCAAGTTTTGACAATTAAAAAGGAAAGAATATAAACTTAAAATCTGAACTCTAACACAAGCATCGAGAATTTCAGACGTCCAGTCATCGCGCAATTCACACTGGGAAGGATTTTCTGAAAAAGTGAGCATCAAACCTCCATGTTTGTTTTCCCAGTGGGATGTGTCTATTGTCAAAGTCGATCTTTTCAAGTCTTTTGAACCATATCACTTTTGTTTCTGGTTCTGATATTGTCATATTTTAGTTTTGGGATTCGGACATTGTAATTGTTGTGGTTGTTGGATGTTCTAACAGCGGAAAACGGCTCGAGAAATGTGTTTGTGAACTCCATAAATGCAAAAGTGAATCAGATGTGTGTGACTCAAACCTCTGTTCAAACTGTTTCTCTTCCCAACGGAATTGAAAAATAGTGAAAGGTGAAGGCGATGGGCAGGATCGATCCACAGGAAGAACCAAAAAGGAAACATTTGACTGCCGAAATCATCCTGAGTTTACAGAGAACATTTTGTATGTGGAGCCATTAAAGCAAAATCCAGATCCCTCGCTCAACCTCTGTGAAAGTGAAAGGTCTCCAACTGTTCACCAAGAAACACCTTCCACTGCAAAGAGACCAAGACGTGATGTTGCTGTAAAACCACAAGAACAAGAAAGTGCAGCTCAGTCTGTTTGTCTTCTGCTCCTCTCCATTAACAAACGGGATTTTGTTTTGTTGTCGCTCCACATACAAAATGTTCTCTGCAAACTCAGGATGATTTAGTCAGTCAAATGTTTCCTTTTTGGTTCTTCCTGTGGATCAATCCTGCCCATCACCTTCACCTTTCACTATTTTTCAATTCCGTTGGGAAGAGAAACAGTTTGAACAGAGGTTTACAGTCACACACATCTGATTCACTTTTGCTTTTATGGAGTTCACAAACAAATTTCTCGAGTTGTTTTCCGCTGTTTGGATCCAACAACCACAACAATTACGATGTCCGAATCCCAAAACTAAAATATGACAATATCAGAACCAGAAACAAAAGTGATATGGTTCAAAAGACTTGAAAAGATCGACTTTATCAATAGACGCATCCCACTGGGAAAACAAACATGGAGGTTTGATGCTCACTTTGTCAGAAAATCTTTCCCAGTATGAATTGTGCAATGTCCAGAAATCGTGATGCATGTATTCTTGTAGTTTTTTCATAAATATTTCAAACCCTCACACGCAGCTGCATCCATTAGTTTCTTACGACTGAAGTTGTTTGTCTCTAAATTAGACTAAATTAAAGTATAATGATTTTACTTATGGACTTACCTTCCGTTCCAGGTCTGTGGTATTACCTGAGCGGACAGTCCCGCCCCTGCCTCACTCTGATTGGATCTCCAAACTTCGGGTACCGGTCGGTGCACAGAGACCTGGAGGCTCAGATCGCCATAGTAACGGAGAACGAGGACCTGCAGACGCAACTACAGGAGGTGAGAAAACAACACGAGTGCAAGTGCAGAGAGCGGATTTGACTGGATTTTCTATTTGTTTGAATTCACATCCGGGTCCAGATGTTTGGTGGTTTGTGCCACTTCTGCCTGGTCATAGTCACAGTTATGGAAGATTATAAGTTCTATTCACACTTACGTCACAAACCAGGAAGACGTTTGGAAACACACGATGACAACTTCTTGTGTAGTTCCCGACACTAGAGCATGAAAACCCGACCGAATTTCAACAGGTTCGGACAAATATTTAGAACTTATGTTTCACTTTGAGACTCTTAAGTGTTCAAAAGATCAGAGCTCTGCACTTCTAGTTTAGATACAAGTCAAAACTGAGTGCGTTTACATGCACATCAATAACCCGGTTATGATCGGGTTTTTTGAGTATCCCGGTTTCTTCACTGGTGCATGTAAACGCAGTAACCCGGTTTCAGTAACCCGGTTATGGCAGTATCCCGGTTATTAGAAACCGGGTTACTGTAGCTGGTTTATTCCGATAGTAACCGGGATACTTGTGGCATGTAAACGCAGTACCCCGGTTACTGCAACATAAAGTTGAGTCGCATGCGTCCAAAAGACACTTTCCAGCCTTTCACCACAACAGTAGTGACATAAATAAATTGACCAACATAAATAAAGTGACCAAACGAGTGAAATGACTGTAAAAATAAAGAGCTGCGCTAAACCTGCACACGTACAATCTGCACTCGTACGACCTGCACTCGTGTGACGCTGAAAAGCTAAAACATGAACTATCTCCTATACAACTACACGCACGAAACACACTTACCATCATTAACACCTCTTCTGTCACAGAAATAACACACATAATCCACAGAGTCGTGTCATTTAGTCCAAAAGAAAACTGATCACATCAGCGGCGCAAGGAGCGAGTTGTTTTTATCACCGCAGTTTATGCTAATTAGCCAAACGGTCTTAAGTTTCGTTTCTGTAAAACGTAAACAAATGTGATCACAGCTGAATTGATCTGATCAAACGGGCTGATGTGTCTATAGTGTTTATGGTTTATATGTTGTAAAGTTGAGTTTATTTATGCAGAAGATTTTAATGAAGAATCTGCACAGTGGATTGTGGGAGATCTCGTAGCTCCTTAGCTTCTTATGCTAAAGGAGCTCACGGTTTGTATTTTTCCTGGTTTATGAAATTGATTTAAGTTAATTTTTGCGCCTGCGCATTTGTAAGATTATGTCAAGAAACCGGGATACTCCATTTGATCATGTATACGCGGATATGAGTGTCCCGGTTTCTCAGTGCGCATGTAAACACAGTAACACGAACACTGACAGAACCGGGATATGGCGAATAACCGGGTTACTGATGTACATGTATACGCACTCAGTGTGTTATTATTATTTGTGAAATGTGGTGCAAAACCTCAGCGTTGTCTTTATTCAGTGTTAAGTGTGAACAGAGACTAGTTGTTCCATTGGATTTAGACTTTTAAAAACAGCTGAATTTCTCACTTTGAATATTTAAACTGTGAAAAAATATTTTTAGCTGCTGTACTTTTTCACTATGTTTCAAATTCAAAATAAAAATGTCACATTTAAAATATTCAGCACAAATATTTTCAGTCAGAATTCAGAGTGTCACAGGCAAAGATCCAAGATGCCAGGGCAGAAGTAATGGATCCTGTGAGTGAGGAGGACAGTTGGCCGTTCTCATCTGTGTTCGGGCTTTACACTTAAAGGTTGTATGGAGGATTTTTTTTTTGTTTCAAATTGTCAGTGAAAGTTTAAAATACCATTATAGAGACGCAGCAGCCTTGTAATTATGATGACCAAAAAATAAAAAATAATGAAAATTGATCAACTGTGGACGTAGTGAGGCCAGATAAACATCAGCCAATAGAAAACAAGCTCCCTCATTTTCTATTGGCTGTTAGGTTGTCAATCAAACTCCCTACATTTCTAGTGTAACTGACTCGTCATTGCGGGGATTACGTGGTTTATGCATCGGTTCTTAGAGGCTTTTTTAAACTGTAGCTTCCTCGCAGTTCGCACAAAGTTTATTGAGATGGCGGACGAGAATCCATGACCAGTTCGCCGCAAGAGAAAGTCCGTTTTTGAGGTCGCTGAAAGAAGAAGAGGAGGGAAAAAGGAGCAAAGCCAAACTGAGATGATTCTTGGAGATCTCTTCCAGCGATTACGCGAACGAAGCAAACGAAGGGTCTAAAAACTGACGCGTTGGTCGCTAAATTATTTCACTTCAACAGTAATTCTGAACGTGCGCTGGATGTAAACAAGTGTGATTTCTAGAGTAAAGAGGCGGGAGAAGATGTTTCTACAGAGGGAGTGGTGGAGGAGGAAGGTGGTGTCACAGATGCGCTACATTTGAAAAAGATCTGTCGCTGTATTTCTTTTCCCTTAAAAAAATCCTCTATACAACCTTTAAGAAATAAAAGAGATGAGGTTTGATAAGGCTGATTCTGGCCAATCAGATCCATGGATCTATTAAAATAACTGGATAAAGTGTTGCTGCTTGTAGTTGTCTCCAGTTGGCGGAGTGGCCACTCACTGGTACTTGAGCGAAAAAATCCCTCCTTCCCATAAAGGATTTTTCCCACAGAGAGAAAACTAATCACAAACTGCTCCTGTTCGGCTGACAGGCACCTGCAACTTTCAAACATGTCGGATTTTGTGGCGATTTTTCCCCTATTTTTAGATCATAAGCCACCGGAAATCCCTCGTCATTGAGCGTCCACTGACTTGAATCGGGGACGGGATTGTCGGCTGTTGAATTGAAAATGTACGTGAATATTTCAAAGGTTCTGCTCCTCACTTTCACCAGCAGAACCTTGTTTAACCAGTTTTCTAAAGTGAGAAACTCAATCAATCACGGTCTGGTCCTCGGTCTGGGCCCGGTCTCAGTACTGGCCTGGTCCTGGTCTTAGTCCTGGTCCTGTTCTCAGTCTCAGTCCTGGTCCCAGTCTAGTCCCAGTCTGGTCCCGGTCTCAGCCCTGGTTTCAGTCCTGGTCTGGTCACCGTCTGGTCCTGGTCTGGTCCCAGCCTCAGTCCTGGTCTGGGCTCGGTCTGGTCCCAGTCCTGGTTCAGTCCTGGTTCAGTCCTGGTCCAGTCCTGGTCCAGTCCTGGTTCAGTCCTGGTTCAGTCCTGGTTCAGTCCTGGTCCCAGTCCCGGTCCAGTCCCGGTTCAGTCCCGGTCCAGTCCCGGTTCAGTCCCGGTCCAGTCCCGGTCCAGTCCCGGTCCAGTCCCGGTTCAGTCCCGGTTCAGTCCCGGTCCAGTCCCGGTTCAGTCCCGGTTCAGTCCCGGTTCAGTCCTGGTTCAGTTCGGCATCGCAGTTTAAGTCAAACGGCTGTTGTCTGTTTTTTCCATTTTTCATTTAAACACAAAATCGAAAACTGAAAATATGAATCATGATCTGTTTTTTCATTTTTGGTTTTGGTTTCGATACTTTTGGCAACATTTTTTCCAGCTTCTGTTTTGGCAAATTCCCAATCTGTTGCTTCTCCCTTGGCACCTTGGATCTTTGCAGCGAACTTTTTTCACTGAATGTCGGCTGTTGAATTGAAAATGTACGTGAATATTTAAAAGCTTCTGCTCCTCACTTTCACCAGCAGAACCTTGTTTAACCAGTTTTCTGCAGGAAACACTGGACATTCAGAAGAAAAATAATTCAAAGTGAGAAACTCAATCAATCACGGTCTGGTCCTCGGTCTGGGCCCGGTCTCAGTACTGGCCTGGTCCTGGTCTTAGTCCTGGTCCTGGTCTTAGTCCTGGTCCTGTTCTCAGTCTCAGTCCTGGTCCCAGTCTAGTCCCAGTCTGGTCCCGGTCTCAGCCCTGGTTTCAGTCCTGGTCCCAGCCTCAGTCCTGGTCTGGGCTCAGTCTCGGTCTGGTTCAGTCCTGGTTCAGTCCTGGTCCAGTCCTGGTCCAGTCCTGGTCCCAGTCCTGGTCCCAGTCCTGGTCCAGTCCCGGTCCAGTCCCGGTTCAGTCCCGGTTCAGTCCCGGTCCAGTCCCGGTTCAGTCCCGGTTCCAGTCCCGGTCCAGTCCCGGTTCCGGTCCCCCGTCCGGTCCCAGTCCCGGTCCCGTCCCGGTTCAGTCCCGGTCCCAGTCCGGTCCCGTCCCGGTTCAGTCCCGGTCCCAGTCCCGGGCCAGTCCCGGGCCAGTCCCCGGTCCCAGTCCCGTTCAGTCCCGGTCCAGTCCCGGTCCCAGTCCCGGTCCCAGTCCCGGTTCAGTCCTGGCGACATTTAAAGTTCAAAATCAGATGAAACAAATGATCTTCGTACACAGTCTGAGGTGCAGGACATGACAGTTTGATGCAGAGTCTTGTGTATATGTGACGGTGTGTTTGTCTTGCGCCCCCTACAGGAGCAGGAGCGGTTGTACAGACGCTCCTCTGAAGTCTCCAGCTCCACGTTCGAGCGTCCGGACCGACACGTGAAACTCTGGGTCAAACTGGTCACTCCCCTCATCAAGAACTTCTTCTGACCCACACAGGTGACGACTTTAACTGTTCAAAGCTTCCTGTTTACGGGCGCCATTTTGAGGACTTTTCACTATTCAAAAGACGTAATAGTTTGTTTTGAAAGGTTAATAGTTTTGGCGACGGTACAAACTTTTCTTCAATTCAAAACTCATGGGCGTGAGATCGATTCAAACATCCTGTAATTGTGTTAAAGATATAATCAAGTATAAAGTTTAATAAACAACTAAACCAGGACTAAACAGGACTAAACCAGGACTAAACCAGGACTAAACCAGGACTAAACCAGGACTAAACCAGGTCTAAACCAGGTCTAAACCAGGACTAAACCAGGTCTAAACCAGGACTAAACCAGGTCTAAACCAGGACTAAACCAGGACTAAACCAGGTCTAAACCAGGTCTAAACCAGGTCTAAACCAGGTCTAAACCAGGACTAAACCAGGTCTAAACCAGGTCTAAACCAGGACTAAACCAGGACTAAACCAGGACTAAACCAGGACTAAACCAGGTCTAAACCAGGTCTAAACCAGGACTAAACCAGGACTAAACCAGGACTAAACCAGGACTAAACCAGGTCTAAACCAGGTCTAAACCAGGTCTAAACCAGGTCTAAACCAGGTCTAAAACCAGGTCTAAAGCAGGTCTAAACCAGGACTAAACCAGGTCTAAACCAGGTCTAAACCAGGTCTAAACCAGGTCTAAACCAGGTCTAAACCAGGACCCTAAACCCTAAACCAGGTCTAAACCAGGACTAAACCACTAAACCAGGACTAAACCTCTAAACCAGGACTAAACCAGGTCTAAACCAGGTCTAAACCAGGTCTAAACCAGGACTAAACCAGGTCTAAACCAGGTCTAAACCAGGACTAAACCAGGACTAAACCAGGACTAAACCAGGACTAAACCAGGTTCTTGTTCAGTCCTTTTATCAATTAGTGGATTCACTATTTTTCCCATTCAAACTATATATATTTTTATTGCTTATCTCCATAGCAACGGCCCTGATTCATCATAATTCTGCACATTTTTCGGCTCCAGGCCTTATTTTGATCTTTTATGACAATATAACATCACAACAGGGCAACAAGCTCAAAGTTTGTCGTCTACACTGAGTCTTTAAAATGTTAAAACAAATGAGGAAATGTTTATTATTCTTGTTGTGACGGATAAATGTCAGACTTGGTTTTCACTTTGGGCTCTTGACCTGAAATTGTCTTTAATGATAATAATAGCTGCAGGCGTTGTCTTTGAAACAGCACTTCTCGAAAACACTTGGACCAGAGTCAAAACAAACTCTGCTCTGGTGTAATATTAGAGGCTTTTGTAAGATCTGGTTTAAATCCTGTTTAAGTCCTGGCTTAAGTCCTGGTCAGGTGCTGGTTAAGTCCTGTCTTAAGTCTTGGTTTAGTCCTGGTTTAGTCCTGGTTTAATCCCGTCTAAGGACTGTTTGTTTACCATTGTGAGGTACAGTCAGTGCCTTGTTTTGTTGTCACGATATAAATATATATATATATATTCTGAGACCACGATAAAAATTAAAAAACACTTTTTAGAATGTGATTTTGACCATTAAATCTTTTTTTTTCTTCTTTATGTACTTTTATATTTGAGCTGATGCAGCTCAAGATCATTTTAAAGACGTTCGTGTGTCATTCGTTCATTCGTTTTTCAATACAAAACCAAAAATAAGAAAATGAAAAAACAAACTATTATAAACAATTTTCTTCATTATTTGTCTCAAAAACCAAAATGAAAAAACAGATAATGATTCGTTTTTTCAGTTTTCGATTGAAAAAAACGTTTACGTGACTTAAACTGCGATGCCGGACTGAATCAGGACTAAACCGGGACTAAACCGTTTTCAGTCCTGGTCCGGTCCAAGTACTGGTCTTGTACTGGTCTGGTCCCGGTTTCATTCACTGTCTGGTCCTGGTCTGGTCCCGGCCTCAGTCCCGGTCTGATCCTGGTCTCAGTCCTGGTCTGGTCCCGGTTTGGTCACCGTTTCAATCACAGTCTGGTCCTCGGTCTGGGCCCGGTCTCAGTACTGGTCTGGTCACTGTCTGGTCCTGGTCTGGCCTCAGTCTCGGTCTGGTCCCAGTCCTGGTCCCAGTCCCGGTTCAGTCCCGGTTCAGTCCCGGTCCAGTCCCGGTCCAGTCCCGGTCCAGTCCCGGTCCAGTCCCGGTCCCGTCCCGGTCCAGTCCCGGTTCAGTCCCGGTCCAGTCCCGGTCCAGCCGGTCCAGTCCCGGTTCAGTCGGTCCAGTCCCGGTCCAGTCCGGTCCAGTCCCGTCCAGTCCCGGTCAGTCCGGTCCCAGTCCCGGTCCAGTCCCGGTTCAGTCCGGTCCAGTCCTGGTTCAGTCCCGGTCCGGTCCTGGTCCGGTCTTGGTTCAGTCCCGGTCCAGTCCCGGTCCCGTCCGGTCAGTCCCGGTCCAGTCTTGGTTCAGTCCCGGTCCGGTCCCGGTCCAGTCTTGGTTCAGTCCCGGTCCAGTCCTGGTTCAGTCCCGGTCCCGGTTCAGTCCCGGTCCAGTCCTGGTCCCAGTCCCGGTTCAGTCTTGGTTCAGTCCTGGTTCAGTCCTGGTTCAGTCCGTTCAGTCCCGTCAGTCCCTGGTTCAGTCCTGGTTCAGTCCTGGTTCAGTCCTGGTCAGTCCTGGTTCAGTCCCGGTCCAGTCCTGGTTCAGTCCCGGTCAGTCCTGGTCAGTCCCGGTTCAGTCCCGGTCCAGTCCCGGTTCAGTCCCGGTCCAGTCCCGGTCCAGTCCCGGTCCAGTCCTGGTCCAGTCCCGGTTCAGTCCTGGTTCAGTTCGGCATCACAGTTTAAGTCAAACGGCTGTTGTCTGTTTTTTCCATTTTTCATTTAAACACAAAATCGAAAACTGAAAATATGAATCATTATCTGTTTTTTCATTTTTGGTTTTGGTTTCGATACTTTTGGCCAATTTTTTTCAGCTTCTGTTTTGGCAAATTCCCAGCTCATGAACCCGGTCTAAAAGTGGTTCCAGTAACTTAATGATCTCGTACAAATGACGGTTTTCCAGTGTAATTCTGTGTTGTTGAACTTTGACCTGGATCTGGTTCTGGTTCGGGTCTGGGCCGTGAGTGAGTCGTTTCCGTGGTGACGCTGCAGAGTTCAGACCTCAGACACAAACAGGATTTACAGAAACTCTGCTTCACTGTGGTCAGACCCAAAAGCCCCGACAAAGACCCGACAAAGACCCGAACAAGTCTAAAGTCTGGACCGGGGTCTGGGTTTGTAAACTAAACCAGGGCCAGACCAAGACCAGACCAGGACTAATCAAGTGCCTATATGTCAGGAAAAAAACAGGACTCAAGCAGGATTAAAACCAGGTCTGAAACAGGTTTAGACCAGGACTAAAGTAAATCTAAACCAGGACTAAACCAGGACTAAAACAGGACTGAACCAGAACTGAACTAGGACTAAACCAGGTCTAAACCAGAACTAAACCAGGACTAAACCAGGTCTAAACCAGAACTAAACCCGGACTAAACCAGGTCTAAACCAGGACTGAACCAGGACTAAACCCGGACTAAACCAGGTCTAAACCAGGACTAAACCAGGACTGAACCAGATCTAAACCAGGACTAAACCAGGTCTAAATTCGGACTAAACCAGGTCCAAATCAGGACTAAACCGGGTCAAACCCAGGTCCTTGTTCAGTCCTTTTCATCATTTTGTGTTTTCTGTATTTTCCCCCCTTTCCAAATATAAACGTAAATATATTTTTTAAATTTCTAATCACCATAGCAACGGCCCTAATTCCTGATCATTCTGCACATTTTTCCTCCCGACTCGGCCGTGACCCGGAAACACCTCTGTGACCCCCGACCTCTAAACCGCGACCTCTGTGAGCCTCTGAACCCCGTCCGCGCTGCGTTTGTCACGTGTTGTTTTCTGGAAGTTGAGCCTCTCGTTTACAGTAAAAGGGAGGAGCCCGTTTCAAATCTGACTTTTGTGTTTTGCCAAAAGGAAAAGAACGGCCGTCGTTTGCACCGGTGACAACAAAAGATGTGACAAAAAGGTATTCTAAACCTGCAGAACAATACGACGGGACGGGCCTCGCGCCTCCAGGAAGTCAGAGCCCCATTTTTACCGGCAGAGAAAAGGGGCGGGGCCTGCGTGAGAAGAAAACACAAAACTAAAAATAAACCCTGAAGAGACAATTATCTCACGAGACGCGTCACGCCAAATGAAATCCAAACACGCTCTCCCCGGGGCGACGACGACGAGCTCTGTGTAAACTTAAACAAGTGTCAAAGGTTAAAGGTGCACTGCGGAACTTTTCATCTGCTCGTCTCCGTGGAGATGTTGCAGATTTGATTTGCCGGGTTTGTTAAACTGCGGTGTGTTTATAACTTAAAAATGGATTTAAAACTGAATTTCAAACTCTACAGCTGAGTGCAGACGCCGCTCCGCAGATCTGACTTGTGATTTGAGCCCAGTGATGTCGTCTGTTTGATTCTATGGAAAAAAAGAAACGGGAAAGAAAAAAAAAAACAAAGAAGATAAGGTGGAACATTCCAGATGAAGTGATAACATTTTCATTGAGAAACAGTTCAGGACTGGGTCAGACCTGGTTTAGACCTGGTTTAGTCCTGGTTTAGTCCTGGTTTAGTCCTGGTTTAGTCCTGGTTTAGTCCTGGTTTAGTCCTGGTTTAGACCTGGTTTAGTCCTGGGTTAGACCTGGTTTAGTCCTGGTTTAGTCCTGGGTTAGACCTGGTTTAGTCCTGGTTTAGACCTGGTTTCAGACCTGGTTTAGAGTCCTGGTTTAGACCTGGTTTAGGTAGACCTGGTTTAGACCTGGTTTACCTGGTTTAGACCTGGTTTAGACCTGGTTTAGTTTACCTGGTTTAGACCTGGTTTAGTCCTGGTTTAGACCTGGTTTAGACCTGGTTTAGACCTGGTTTAGACCTGGTTTAGACCTGGTTTAGACCTGGTTTAAACCTGGTTTAGTCCTGGTTTAGACCTGGTTTAGACCTGGTTTTAGACCTGGTTTAGACCTGGTTTAGACCTGGTTTAGACCTGGTTTAGTCCTGGTTTAGACCTGGTTTAGACCTGGTTTAGTCCTGGTTTAGACCTGGTTAGACCTGGTTTAGATCTGGTTGCAGATCTTTTTCTAGAAAAGTTACACAAAACACTTTTAAACTGGATTTTTTCTTGTATTTTTAATCATCAAAAATCTATAAATGAAGTTTTATTGTCAAAAATAAACCTGTAGTTTTGGTTCGTTGATGTTTGTTGGTGTTGGTGTCGTCCTGCAGGCAGAGCTCAAAAGGCTGTTTCACCTGATGATGTCATGAGGTGGTGCCCTAGCTTTTCTACCTACAGAAATTTTAAAATGTATATTTATTATATTTTATACAATTATACAATATTTTATATATTTTTTACAAAGTAGTAAAAAAAATAATCCAAAACAAACCAGATTTATGTGAAATATTCCTCAAATAAATGCATGAACATTAATCTCAAAACATTTTTTCTTCTACAGAATAAATATGAATGAGAATAAGTGTTTTATACATTTTCGTGTTGGTCACTTTACAAACGCTGCAGATTGAGAATAAAATTGCTCATAAACAGTAGAATGTTACAAAACTGACAAATGATTTTGTATTTTTTATTCAGAATATACTGTGTTCTATAAAAGTTTAAACTGTTTATTCTGCACAGAGCAGAAAAAACATCTGAATTTTACACTTTCAGTTGTTGTGCTTGTCTCCCTCTAGTGTCTAGTTCAGGTACTGCAACAAAACATTGTCAGACTTGAGGAGAGAGGAGACAAGGAGAGAGAGAGGAAGCAAGGAGAGGGAAGACAAGGACAGTGGAGACAAGTAGTGAGGAGACAAGTAGAGAGGAGACAAGGAGAGAAGAGACAAGGAGAGAGGAAACGAGTAAAGAAGAGACAAGGACAGTGGAGACAAGTAGAGAGGAGGCAAGGAGAGAGGAAATAAGGAGAGAAGAGACGAGTAAAGAAGAGACAAGGACAGTGGAGGCAAGTAGTGAGGAGACAAGGAATGAAGAGACATGGGGAGAGGAAACAAGGATAGTGGAGACAAGGAATGAAGAGACAAGGAGAGAGGAAACAAGGACAGTGGAGACAAGGAATGAAGAGACAAGGAGAGAGGAAACAAGGACAGTGGAGACAAGGAGAGAAGAGACAAGGAGAGAGGAGACGAGTAAAGAACAGACAAGGACAGTGGAGGCAAGTAGTGAGGAGACAAGGAATGAAGAGACATGGGGAGAGGAAACAAGGATAGTGGAGACAAGGAGAGAGGAGACAAGGAGAGAGGAAACAAGGAGGAAAAAAAAGCATTTTATTGTGATTATTATTATTTATTATATTAATAGTTTGACTCCTTCCTCTGGTTTAAACGTCACAGCTTTATAGACGAATTAAAATATTTTTATTAAACTAAATAAAATGTTTTTCTTTCTAAACACTCGTCACATGGTGCATCATCTTTATTCACCGCTTTAGTTCTGTTTCTGTTTCTGCCAATAAACCTTTTAATACTCCATTCAGATTCTGTATTCATATTTTTTTATTGTATTTTCTCCTCGTTTCAGGTGGACGCTCGCTCTTGTCATCAGTGAATCCTCGGAGCCGCTCGGCATTCTGGGAGTTGGAGTTTCACACTGAAGAACCGCAGTCTTGTTTTACTTTAACTGGACGTTTCACTGGAGCTGCCTCATGCATGCAGTAAAAACATTTCTTTTTGTTATCATTTTTTATTTCATTTCAACTGTGAATCCTCCGCCAAACATTTCAACGTAGGTTTTTAAATATTTAGAAAATTTTTGAGAATTTGTGGATGAAATACACTCGAAAGGGCCTTAAAATATGAAAAGTGGTTTACAGTTCTGAGAAAACCTTAAGTATAAAACGTAGGATTTTGTTTGTAAATTAAAACAGAGTGAAGAGTTTTTTTTGTTTTAAATGATCTGGGTATTTTTCTGGATATTGTTATTTTAAACTACTGGATACAAGAACAGAAGAAGTTCACTTTACGGGGTTTGTTTACGGTTTATAAATGTAGCACAAAGAGGATTTGAGAGACAAAAAGACGACGGGATCTTCAAGTCTGCAGACCGGGGTTAGACCTGGTTTAGTTCCGTTTTAGTCCCGTGTTTTATCTATATCAGTCTTCCTGGTTTGGACCTGGATTAGTCCTTGTTTGGTCCTGTGTTGGTCAGACTGGGTCAGGTACAGTACTGTTATTAGACCTGGTTTAGTTCTGCTTTAGTCCCGGGTTAGTCCTGGTTTATTCCTGGTTCAGACCTGGTTCAGTCGTGTTTCAGATCTGGTTGAGTCCTGGTTCAGACCTGGTTCAGACCAGTTTTAGACCTGGTTCAGACCAAGTTCAGATCTGTTTCAGTCCCGTTTCAGACCTGGTTTAGTCCTGGTTCAGACCAGGTTCAGACCAGTTTTAGACCTGGTTCTGCCCCGTTTTAGTCCCGTTTTAGACCTGGATCAGCCCCGTTTCAGATCCGTTTCAGACCTGGTTTGGACTTGGTTTCAGTCCTGTTTCAGATCCATTTCAGATCCATTTCAGACCCGTTTCAGACTTGGTTTAGGCCTGGTTCAGACTTGGTTCAGACCTGGTTCAGACCTGGTTTAGACCTGGTTCAGACCTGGTTCAGTCCTAGTTTCAATCCTGGTTCAGTCCTATTTCAGATCCATTTCAGACCTGGTTTAGACCTGTTTTAGTCCTTGTTTCAGTCCTAGTTTCAGTCCTGGTTCAGTCCTATTTCAGATCCATTTCAGACCTGGTTCAGACTTGGTTTAGACCTGGTTTAGTCCTTGTTTCAGTCCTAGTTTCAGTCCTAGTTTCAGTCCTGGTTCAGATCCATTTCAGACTTGGCTCAGACTTAGTTTAGTCTTGTTTCAGACCTGGTTCAGTCTTAGTTTTACCAAAGAAGTGACTCTTAATCCTGGTGCAAGTCGCCGAACACTGTGAACCGTTTGTTGTGGTTAAAGTTTTACTCCAAAATGTTGAAACACGGTGAAGATCTGTGAATGATTTTAGGAGAAAGTTAAACTCAAAGAAGGACAAAAGCAGAAAGATAAAAAGAAGAAGAGGAGAGGGACAGAAAAGAAGGTCAGAGGAGGAAGAGAAGAGGTTCAGAAGAAAACTCAGAATATGCCAATTTTAAACCTTTTTATGTTGAAACTTTCTTTTTTTTAACTTATGTCGCACTGTTAAATGCAATAAAAACACAACTGACTTCCTCATTTGTTTCTTCTTGTTTCTTGTTTCAACCTCCGAACCCGAGAGGAAAACTGAAGAACCGACCCGTTTTTATATTCAAACGTTTAATATTTTCAAATAAATTACTACAAATCTGGATAAATAAACAGTGCTTTGACCACAGAGGGACAATCGTAGTAAACATACAAAAACTTACAAAGAAAAAAAACTTCAAATCAAATCAAAATTCTGTATTAAATATAAGAGTTTTTTTTTTTTTTTAACATAGATTTAATGGAAAAGCAAAAATACTGTGTTGAGTCTTTTTAAAGGTGCATTGTGTAACTTTTCTGGCAGAGAATCGGCTTCCGTGGAGACGTCGTTGCGTTGCCCGAAATGTTCCGCAATACGGCATTCGCTCTCAGAGTCTGATCTACGTTTATTCAGTTTTTACGCGCGTTTTTATTGCGTTTTTACTCGGAGTGGAGAGATCTGACCCGTAACCTGGCCCCGGAGACAAAGCGGTAACGTCATCTCCACGGAGACGAGCAGAAAAGTTACACAGTGCGGCTTTAACAGTCTGGAGAAGTTCCTCTGTAAAAGCGAGTCGTGGTGTGAAACGTAAAAGGACCATTTGAACCATGGCTTGTCTCATTTGACGATTAGATAAGTTTGCGTGTGTGAATCGGATCGTTTGTTTACAGTCCTTTGTGAGCCGATACTTTCTTCTTTCGAGCGGCGAGCATCTCGTAGAACGGGTCTTTACTGATGGCGGCTCTGCGGGACAAAAAAAAAAAAAACAAAATGTCAAAGAAAACAATCTCAGACAAGTGAAAGAGTGAATTTTACACTATTTTCTGATTTACTGTTTGTTCTAATGTTGTTTCCTCGTCACAAACGGATCACACATGTTTAACACACAAACGCTGCAGATTTACAACACTCTGTTCCACCTTGTGATGTCATGTGGTAAAACAGGAAGTGCTCCACTGTGTTTTTAAAGGGCCACTAAACACCAAAATCTATTTTTTCTACTGATTATTAAGTGCATACCTCTACCTAACCTTTATTTTGGCATTTTAGTAGAGGTGTGCAAAAATATCGCTATATCGTAACGTTTAATGTGATGATACAGTATCGATATATCGCCAAGAGTATTTTTTGGTATATTTTACAAAATTATTTTCAGTCAAATGAAGCTCATGGATGCTGGCAATTACAGAGACGCATTTGGAGCCACGATATATCAATATTTCAATATTTTTGCACACCCCTAGTTTCTGTAGCAGCTGCCCAGAGGAAAAAATAATGACAACAGGACTAAGTGTGCAAAAATGTTGAAATATCTATATTTTGTATCGTTTAATTTGGTGATACAGCATCGATATCGTGGGCTGCTGTATCGATATATCGCCAAGAGTATTTTTTGATATTTTACTAAATTATTTTGTTACATCTACAGTTTTGTTGTTTGTTCAGAGGAAGGAAACTTTTTTATGTGACACATTTGACATTTTCACTGTTTTGATGATTAAAATGTTGGTGTTTCATATGAACTTTGCACAAGAAGTGGTTTAACAAAGACTTTTATTATCACAGTCATGATTTAGACTTTATATTTTACTGAATCGTATCAAATAGATTTGAAATGTCTCGATACAGTGAACTTTTGGTTTGATACGATATATGTATCGTACTGGCAACTTCTTAATGTTACCCAGATCTACATTTTAGTGCGTATTTGTTAAAAATCTGACGTTTGGGTCAAAGTCGTGTCTGTAAATGCTTCTTTAGGATCAACTACGGCCAGGATATTTGAATTTCTGGACTAGACAAACGGCGCAGATGAGTCAGTTGCAGGTTATTACATGACAAACGTAGCCACTGGAGTCTACGGGCGGGAGGTGAGGAGCCCCTCTCAGCCCCGACCTGGCACCTCGATGTCCCGCCGTGTCTGGAGAAAAGGGAAACGCCGTGATCCGAGCGCAAATATCCGCTTTGTTTCACCAGTGTTGGATTGTTGTGGCTGTTGGTCCACACCTGCTCCCCCCACCTGCTCCACCTGCACCTGCACCCACCTGCCCACCTGGCCCCCAGCCCACCTGGCACCGCCCACTCTGGAGGATTTTTCAGATTTTGATTAGCGGCGGAGTAAAGCTTCAGGAGAGGGTTTAATGTCTCTTTAAACTCCACACATGTTCACTAGAATCTTTTGGATAATTTCAGCCGTGAAATTGCCGATTTCCACTGAACAAAAGGTAAAAGGAGCTGTTCACTTGAAAACTAACGCTTCATGACATCACAAGGTGGAAGAGAGCATTTTGAGCTTTGGAGATGAAGATGGACTAATAATAAAATGTTACTCAAACATGTGTGAATGAAAGAAAACACAACTCCAGGTCTGTTTTTGAGGAGGAAACTCAGAAACTATGGTAAATGTGCGTGGTACTTGATGCAGTTGATCCAGTGCTCCTTCTCCTCTCTGGTGGGAGCTGAGATCCTGTAGAACGTGTGGTTTCCTTCCACCACTCGTCCGTCCGCTTCGGTCTTACAGGCTTTTATCACCTGGTCCCTGTGCTCCGGGATGAACAGCTCAAAACAGTTCTGGAAAAGAGAGAAACTTTTAAAAACACTCAGGCCGGGGCAAGAACGTTTGAGAGGAAACTGAAATCTGAACGAATAAACCAACACAAGGATCTCAGGCATTTCAGAACACAGAGTCTAAACTACAGGATCAGGAGCTTTTACACAGAATAAGACCCCAGGGAGACACAGGAAGGGCATCTGACACAGGGACATTTCAGAACATGTTTATAAAAGTGCTTATGAATATCACCGAGGCAAAAGTAACCGCATAAATGCACACAGGGTGATCTACAAATAGTCACTGGTTTGTACGTGTGTTTTGATCAGGGTTCCCACGGTCATGGAAATTAAAAATGTCATTTTCTGTGCCTTGAAAAGTCATGGAACTTTGTAAATTCAATGAAAGATTTGTACAAGTCATGGAATTTTAGTATCTTTTTCACGCAAATACAGCGTCCTGTTAAGTTCTCATGAGGCTGTTATGATTATTTCTGAACGTCTGCGCCTTTTGTTTAAAAGAGTCGACAATATAATGATAAATAAATAAATCATTCATCATAGATAAATAATAAATGCATTGACAGTGTTTTGAATATGATAACCATAAGGTGAGTGGAAAAGGTTAACATTTCAAATTCATTTCAATTCTACACATGTAGGTGCTGTAAAGTCATGGAAAATTCACTTTAGGTCATGAAAAAGTCATGGAAAAGTTTAGAAATTTTGTCAGTGAAAAAGATAGATATTTTGGTCTTTACAAACAGATGTGTATTTGCAAATATATCTTTTTTTTTTTTTTTCATTTGGCAAAAAAGAAAATACTCTTGTAAAAGAAGGCATCCACTAGTTTTTCCCGGTGGAAAACTTGTGAGTTGAGAGACGGAGCCTCTACTGTAAATACAAACATCTTACTTGGTTCTAAATAAACACAGGTCCATGTTTCTCTCACCTCAAGTTTTCTACCGGGGAAAAAAACTGCTGCTGCTCCTGCCTGCTTTACAACTACCTTTAACTGTGCACTGCCGTTTACATGCACATCAATAACCCCGTTATACAACACTGGTTCTAGTGGTACCCGGCTCACTGTGAGTGCGTTTAACATGCACATCAGTAACCCGGTTATGGCAGTATCCGGTTTTAGAAAACGGGGGTTCAGTTACGTGTTTATGTAACCCGGTAACCATGGTTTCAGTAAACCGGTTATTATTTAAAGCAGTATTCCGGTTATTAGAAGCCGGGTAATTATTCCGATAGTAACGCGGTTACTTGTTGTACGCATACCATAAACTGCGCACATAAAGTTGTTGTCGCATGCTGGTCCAAAAGACACAAAAGCAGCCTTTCAATCAAACCAGTACGTGACCAACATAAATAAAATGATACAAGTGAACATAAATGTAAGTATAAAGTGCGCAAAAAACAAACGCAGTGCACTTAAAACTGCACTGACTGTACGTGAACATTAAAGTTGTGACACAATACACGTGCGTGCTGAAAGTGACAAAAGAAAAGCTGACCGCACATAAACCTGCAAAACCTGCACACGTAACGACCTGCACACTAGCGCGACCTGCACTCGTGCACCTGAACGACCTGAAACGACTAAAACTAAACTGAACTATCTCTCTATACAACAACGCACAGAACACACTTACCATCATTAACACCTCTTCTGTCACAGAAATAACACACATAATCCACAGAGTCGTGTCATTTAGTCCAAAAGAAACTGATCGCATCAGCGGCGCAAGGAGCGAGTTGTTTTTTATCGCCGCTAACAGTTTATGCTAAATTAGCCAAACGGTCTTAAGTTTCGTTTCTGTAAAACGTAAACAAATGTGATCAGAGCTGAATTATCTGATCAAACAGGCTGATGTGTCTATAGTGTTTATGGTTTATATGTTGTAAAGTTGAGTTTATTTATGCAGAAGATTTTAATGAAGAATCTGCACAGTGGATTGTGGGAGAGATCTCGTAGCTCCTTAGCTTCTTATGCTAAAGGAGCTCACGGTTTGTATTTTTCCTGGTTTATGAAATTGATTTAAGTTTAATTTTTGCGCCTGCGCATTTGTAAGATTATGTCAAGAAACCGGGATACTCCATTTGATCATGTACACGCGGATATGAGTGTCCCGGTTTCTCAGTGCGCATGTAAACAGTAACACGAATACTGACAGAACCGGATAAGACTTTAACCGGGTTATTGATGTGCATGTAAACGCACTCAATTAATGTCTGTGAATCTGTTGCCATTTGTGGATTTGTGGATTTCGCAAAAAAATAATGTCTGAATCTATCATTTTGTGAATGTGTATTTTGTCTGGTGATTTGCAATGAAATAAATTTTACAAAAAGAATTTCTGTGAATTTTGTAACTTGTATTTGAAATTCCACAAACGCACCCCAAATGCGTAAGCCTACAAAGAATGGTTTGAAGTTTCAAAAGTGAACATATTTGCAAACAATTTCAGAAAACAATTTTTTAACAAAACAATTTTTTTAGCAAGCACATTGTAAACTTAGGCAGACATCACAATTTGGCCAAAAAAATGACCAAGGCAACTATTAGGCCCAAGTCAAAATTTCAGAAAAAAAAAAATTTTTACAAAATACACTTAATCAATTTGGGCCAAAAAAGACCTAATACAACTTAATGAAAAATAAAAAAACTTTTTTTCCTGACTTTTTTAAAGTGAATTTTCCATGACTTTACAGCACCTTCATGTGTAGAACTGATCAGACTTTATGTTAACTCTTTCCACTCACCTTATGGTTTGGGATTTTAGTTTTTTAACATTCTAAATCCCGTCATTTATTGTCGTCTCTTTAAAAACAAAAGACACAGACGTTCAGAAATAAGTTCTCATTTGACGATTATGATAAACAGAACGCTGTAGTTGCGTGAAAGAGAAACTAAAATTCCATGACTTTTCCAGGGACTTCCATGACCGTGGGAACCCTGGATCACCCTCTGTGCGTTTAAGAATATTAATGAGGCAAAAGTAACACCATATAAACTACAGGATCAGCAGGTTTTACACAGAATGAGATGGAAAATTATGTTATTATGTGTATTAATAAGTGGATTCAAGGTGGGATTTTGATTCAATTGTGATGAAATACTTTGGCCCATGTCATTTAAAATAATACTACAACTCGTCCTGGGGCAGACTGAAGAGAAGTGGCTGCGATTTTGTGTCTTCAGTCTCTTTAAGTTCAGGTAAGAGTCAGGTTTGTGGAGATGCAAGCACACTTACAGTACAGACACGTGCTTTTTTGTGCAACTTTTGTTTCTCTAAATTACACACTGTGGCTTTAATAAGAAAAATATATACAGTGGAATAAAAAATAATAGTAGTAGAGCCATGTGATGTGGAAAAAAGTCCAGTTTTTGTTTGTTTTTCTTTGAGATTTACCGGTTTCTTGGAGTCTTCCACTTCTCTGATGCTCAGGTTTTCTAACGGGATAATTCCTCTCGGTTCTTTGTCCTGGTGAGAAAATGGAAAAAATAAACTGTGCTTTAAAAACGTTATTTTTAAAGCACAATATTTAGAAAAAAAAACAGTCTTCTACACTCACGGTTGTGTATTCAAAATAGTAGAGGCAGTTGTCCGTGAGAATGAACCAGCGTCTTTTCCAGGTTTTCACTCTGCCTCCTGAGAAAAACTCCAGACGTTACAGAAAACATTCAAACTAAATCATTTCTTTAATCTGTGTGAGTTTTTTAGCCAGACAAAACTACGCATTAATAAAGCCGCGTGCAGCAGTTCAACAAAAACGACTTAAAAGATCAACAGAATGTTAAAGTCGCACTGTGTAGCTTTTCTGCTTGTCGCCGTGGAGATGTTAGGCTTTTGCTTTACAGGATTTTACGCAGAGTTTTGGTGTTTTTATTTCTCAAAAAGGCTTTGAAAAAAACAAAACATTACCAGGAGTTTACATGGCGTATCCTTCTGCCAGAAAAGCTACGTAATGCAACCTTTAAAAACGTGCGTGCGTGTTAGATGCAGAGCACACGGACATGAGGATGCAAAGCGACGCATCACAGTTTAGTTTTTAAATATAAAAGTTGTAATAAAAATGATGAACTTACCTCCTGCAGACGACATGGAAGAAACAAGAAATCAAACACGACATGAAGACGTTTGTACAAGAAAATATAATCAACAATTCATGTTTTTAAATCAACCACGAAGAAAATATCAAAGAGAACAAAGAACAGTTATGACACATGTGGAGGTTCTTCTATATCTGCTGTTCATGTCCAGGCAGGAAGTAAAATGATAAACTATTAAGGTGCACTCACACTAGGACTTCAGAACTGTGCCGTGCTCAAGCACGATTACGTAGGGTTCTGTGTTCTGCACCGAACTGAGCCACGGCCGATGACGTCAGCACAATGTGCTGTTGGTTGACATGTGACGCAGTAGAGCGTCACATCAACGCTTTAGTGGAGAAAATAAGTCCAGCGGCAGAAATATCTATTAAATAATGAGACAGATGAGTCCTGCTGCGATACTCGCTCCTCCGTGAGTTTATGGAGATAATAACAGCACAGAGCAGTGAGGACAGGAGCAGTGAGGACAGGAGGAGGCAGTGAGGACAGGAGTGAGGACAGGAGGAGTGAGGACAGGAGGAGTGAGGACAGGAGGAGGAGTGAGGACAGGAGGAGGAGTGAGGACAGGAGGAGGAGGAGAGGAGTGAGGACAGGAGACAGAGGAGTGAGGACAGGAGAGGAGGACAGGAGGAGTGAGGACAGAGGAGTGGAGAGAGTGAGACAGGAGGAGGAGTGAGGACAGGAGGAGTGAGGACAGGAGGAGTGAGGACAGGAGGAGTGAGGACAGGAGGAGGAGGAGGAGTGAGGAGGAGAGTGAGGACAGGAGGAGTGAGGACAGGAGGAGTGAGGACAGGAGGAGTGAGGACAGGAGGAGGAGGAGGAGGAGTGAGGACAGGAGGAGTGAGGACAGGAGGAGTGAGGACAGGAGGAGGAGTGAGGACAGGAGGAGTGAGGACAGGAGGAGGAGTGAGGACAGGAGGAGGAGTGAGGACAGGAGGAGGAGTGAGGACGAGTGAGGACAGGAGGAGTGAGGACAGGAGGAGTGAGGACAGGAGGAGGAGTGAGGACAGGAGGAGTGAGGACAGGAGGAGTGAGGACAGGAGGAGGAGGAGGAGGAGGAGTGAGGACAGGAGGAGGAGTGAGGACAGGAGGAGGAGTGAGGACAGGAGGAGGAGTGAGGACAGGAGGAGGAGTGAGGACAGGAGGAGTGAGGACAGGAGGAGGAGTGAGGACAGGAGGAGTGAGGACAGGAGGAGTGAGGACAGGAGGAGTGAGGACAGGAGGAGTGAGGACAGGAGGAGTGAGGAACAGGAGGAGTGAGACAGGAGGAGTGAGGACAGGAGGAGGAGGAGGAAGGAGGAGTGAGGACAGGAGGAGGAGTGAGGACAGGAGGAGGAGTGAGGACAGGAGGAGGAGTGAGGACAGGAGGAGTGAGGACAGGAGGAGGAGTGAGGACAGGAAGGAGTGAGGACAGGAGGAGGAGTGAGGACAGGAGGAGGAGTGAGGACAGGAGGAGTGAGGACAGTGAGGACAGGAGTGAGGACAGGAGGAGTGAGGACAGGAGAGGAGGAGGGAGTGAGGACAGGAGGAGGAGTGAGGACAGGAGGACAGGGAGGACAGGAGGAGGAGTGAGGACAGAGGAGTGAGGACAGGAGGAGGAGTGAGACAGAAGTGAGGACAGGAGAGGAGTGAGGAGGAGTGAGACAGGAGGAGTGAGGACAGGAGTGAGGACAGGAGTGAGGACAGAGGAGGAGTGAGGACAGGAGAGTGAGGACAGGAGCAGTGAGGACAGGAGGAGGAGTGAGGACAGGAGGAGTGAGGACAGGAGGAGACGAGGCTCCAAAATGTTTTGGACTTCACTGTGTGTTTTAGACTTTATTCACTGTGCTGCGCTCTCACTGGACAAACAGTTCTGTGCTTTAGAGGTGATCTGTGCTTGGGCACAGTTCTAAAGTCCTAGTGTGATTAGAGTGAGTGTAGTAGTCGTCTGATCTGTCATATACACGACAAGAAGGAAATGAACACAAAAGTGTACACTTTTATATCTTTACACTTTTGTATCTTTACACTTTTATATCTTTACACTTTTGTATCTTTACACTTTTGTATCTTTACAACTTTTTATCTTTACACTTTTTGTATACACTTTTGTTTTACACTTTTGTATCTTTACACTTTTGTATCTTTACACTTTTGTATCTTTACACTTTTGTATCTTTACACTTTTGTATCTTTACACTTTTGTATCTTTACACTTTTGTATCTTTACACTTTTGTATCTTTACACTTTTGTATCTTTACACTTTTGTATCTTTACACTTTTGTATCTTTACACTTTTGTATCTTTAGACAAAGCCCCATATGGACAATTTATCAGCAAAAAAGATGATTTAGGAACAGTTTTAAAATGTTCCACCGGTTGCATTAGAATAAATAAATCATAAATAAGAGTAGATAAAGTGTATGTTTCGTGTACCGAGTTTGAGGAGCCAGCCCTCTCTGTCGGGGTTGAAGAACGTGTGCGTCAGGTCGTTTCCGTCGTCCTCTGGGATTTTAAACGGCTCATTCTTTATACTTTCATAAAGATTCTGCAAAACACGAGAAGATTATTAGAAGATTATTAATGAAATTAACTGTGAATAAGTTACAATATTATGCAATGAAAATAAAATCTTTAACTGAAAACCCACATTATTTTTTACTTAAACGATGCTCAAATATCTGTCATTGCTGCTGTATTTCTCCAGAGGGCAGCAGAGTCACACTTTTTACAATGTTTTGTTGTTTTTTTTTTCATTTTGCCTTGAGCCTTGAGTGTGTGTGTCCTTTTTATCAAATGACCATCAAATTTAAAGTGTTACAAGGTGAAACGAGACACTCCAGGCTTCTGTTATGAAACAAATTGTGGAGATAAACTAAAAATAACATTTAATTAAACTAGAACTGATGACTACTGTTGTTATTAGTGTGTTTTTGGGGTTAAAATCTGGTCTTTCGGCTTTTTACTCCCCCTCTTACCCATTTTTTTAATCAATTAGATATTATAAATAGATTTTTTAAGGATTATCAAAATGTCAACTAATAAAAAAAAATATTAAAAAAACTGACAAACCGATTTATTGAAAATAAGTTTTGTTACGTTTTGGACCTAATCTCTTCCATCTCTGGGCTCCAAAACCGTTCAGACGAGCAGAAAACGGAGCCCGATTTTGGGTCACGAAAAGTCTATTTAAAATCAAATGAACTGAGAGGATTAATCCAAATTTAGCCTCTAATTAAACGTGTGTGGATTTTGTCTCTTTCGCAGCAGACGATGGTCCAGATTCACTCTCACCTCAAATCACCTCAGTCTGCAGGAAGAGTTACACTTTTTAGGAACATTTATACAAAAAATTTAAATAAAATACTAAAATAATTTGTGTTTCTTGCACTTTATGTTCAAAATAGTTAAATTAATGTATTCGTAATTGAGTAGATTTTTGGTAATAGTTTTTTTTAGTAGATTTTTAAAGCTGTAATTGTAAACTAAATACCTATTAATAATTAATTACACATGAAATGATAAGAAATTGCAGTTTAAAATAAAATAAAATAAAAAATAAAATTCAAATTCAGCTTAAACTGTTTAAATAAAACGTGAAAGACTGACTTAAAACGCTAAAAAAGGTTAATACTACTTTGGTGTAGTATTTTTAACGTATAATTTATAATTTAAGTACAATTTTGGCAGCAATATTTGTAACTGAGTACATATTTAGTCATGTAACTTAAATATTTTAAAACCACTTCTCACTACTTCTTCCACCACTGATTAAAACACAAAAAGTAAAACAACGGTCACTGTAAGATAAACTAATTGTACTGAAATCTGTTTTTTATTTGTAGTTTTATTTGAAGTATATATTTTGAAGTAAAGGTAGTAAGAAAAGTCACATTTTTAAACCACAGACTGTATAAAGAAGTGGACTAACGCAGTGTTTTCCAAATTTTTAGTTTTAGTCGTGACCCAAGTCAATAGAGATTATTCGTAAATCACAAAATAAAGGTGGATTATTGAACATTAATGAGGATATTTTATTGTTGTGATCGTGTCTCTCTGAACAATTAGTATTACTCAAGATTTAAACAGGGTAAAAACAGTCATTGAAGCAGTAATAAAAGGATTCATAAGCATCCTGAAGTGCTCTGACCTTTAGTACCATTTTTTTTTTTTGCACAACCAAGCAGCATTTCTCAAGTTTAGCTGCAGATCAGGCAGAGAGGATCCGCTGACTCACTCGTTCTCTCGTGTGTCAGAACTGTACATTTCAGATCGACATGCAGATCGTGACAAGGCGACCCCAAAAAAACATCTCTTGTGATTCACCGGAGGGTCACAATCCAGTCTTTGGGAAACAATGGACTAAGGGACTAAGTGTTTGACTCCAGCGACAATATTCTAATGTAAGTCAACGGGAGCTGGGGTCAGATGGAGCCGAGAGCGCCCCCATGATCACTTCCTGCATAGAACGAGGCGGCGAGTGCTTTAGCTATGTCCATTTATATGTCAGTCTAGACTGTACCCGATTATAAACCTCTTTAACCCAGTATAAACCCCTTTAACCCCAGTACAAACCCCCTTTTACACCAGTATAAACCCTTTTAAACCAAGTATAAACCCCCTTATATCCCAGTATAAACCATTTAAAACCCAGTATAAACCCTTTAAACCCAGTATAAATATAAAACCCAAACCCTTTTAAACCCAGTATAAACCTCCTTTTACCCAGTATAAACCCTTTAAACCCAGTATAAACCCTTAAAACCCAATATAAACCCTTTTAAACCCAGTATAAACCCCTTTGTACCAGAATAAACCCCTTTTGCCCCAGGACCAACCCCTTTTACCCCAGTATAAACCCTTTTAAATCCAGTATAAACCCTTTAAACCCAATATAAACCCTTTAAACCCAATATAAACCCTTTTAAACCCAATATAAACCCTTTTAAACCAGTATAAACCCCTTTTACCAGAATAAACCCTTTTTTTAAAACCCTTTTACCCCAGTATAAACCCTTTAAACCCAGTATAAACCCTTTTAAACCCAATATAAACCCTTAAACCCAATTTAAACCCTTTAAACCCATATAAACCCTTTAAACCAAATAAACCCTTTTAAACCCATATAAACCCTTTAAACCCAATATAAACCCTTTTAAACCCAATATAAACCCTTTTAAACCCAATATAAACCCTTTTAAACCCAATATAAACCCTTTTAAAACCCAATATAAACCCAATAAAACCCAATATAAACCCTTTAAACCCAGTATAAACCTCCTTTTACACCAGTATCAACCTCTTTGAACCCAAGTATAAACCCTTTAAACCCAGTATAAACCCTTTTAAAACCCAGTATAAACCCCTTTTACTCCAGTATAAACCCTTTAAACCCGCAGTCGTACCCGCAGCAGGTCGTCGGGCAGGTCTCCTCCGTCGTTGATTCCTCGGTTCATGGAGGTGAATCGCTGCACTGTGGGTTTGTCTTTGACGTTGGGGTTGTGTAAACTGGTGTTGAGCATGATGACGGCGAACGACAGAACGTAACAGGTGTCTGAGAACAACAAGAGACCGACACAGAGAACGTCTCACGTCAATTTGTGAACTTCCTTTGGGATCAATAAGTGTTTATTCACAAACGTTTACATGATGTCGTGAGTCAAGCTGTTCAAACCTGCACTCGCTCTCAATTTAGTTCTAGTTTGAGTCATTTACCATTTGCGTAAGTTGTTAGTTTGACTTATTTTATACGGAAGCCGAGAGGGGTCACAACAAACGCAAACGCCGCAACAAATACAAACGCGACAACACAACAAAAAGCCACAACAAACCAAAAAAAGCCACAACGGACATGACAGCGGGACTCGATTTTCATGCAAACGCCGCAATAAATACAAACGCCACAACACAAACGCAAATGCCGGAACATATTAAAAAGCCACAACACGTTAAAAAGCCACAACACAGCAAAAAAAAAGCCACAACACAACCAAAAAAAGCCACAACACAAAAAAAAAAAAAAAGCCACAACACAACAAAAAAAGCCACAACGGACATGACCGCGGGACTCTATTTTAATGCAAACGCTGCAACAAATACAAACGCCACAACACAAACGCAAATGCCACAACACATTAAAAAGCCACAACGGAAGTGACCGCGGGACTCTATTTTCCGACGGACCGATCAAGCGGCAAGTGAAGAAGAAGAACTACAACGTGAAAAGTAAAGGAACGGAGAAGTTGGAAACGTAAGTAAAAGTAATTTATTGTTTTATCATTATTCGTTTCACGTTGTAGTTCTTCTTCTTCACTTGCCGCTTGATCGGTCCGTCGGAAAATAGAGTCCCGCGGTCACTTCCGTTGTGGCTTTTTGATGTGTTGTGGGTTTTTAATGTGTTGTGCTTGCGTTGTGGTGTTTATTTTAATGCAAACACACAAAAAATTGCCACAGCACATTAAAAAGCCACAACGGAAGTGACCGCGGAACTCTATTTTAATGCCAACGCTGCAACAAATACAGAGTGCCATTTCCGTTGTGGCTTTTTAATGTGTTGCGGCATTTGCGTTTGTGTTGTGGTGTTTGTATTTGTTGCAGCGTTTGCATTAAAACAGAGTCCCGCGGTCACTTCAGTTGTGGCTTTTTTTGGCGTGTTGTGTGTGTGTGGGGGGGGGGGGTTGGTGTGTTGTGGCTTTTTAAATGTTTTGTGGCTTTTTTTTGGTGTATTGTGCTTTTTTCGTGTGTTGTGCTTTTAATGTTTGTTGTGGCTTTTTTTGGTTGTTTGCTTTTGTGTATTGTGGCTTTTTTTGTTTGTGCTTTTTTATGTTTGTTGTGGCTTTTTTTTTGGTGTATTGTGCTTTTTTTGTTTGTTGTGGCTTTTTGGTTTTTGTGCTTTTTTGTTGTTGTGGCTTTTTTTGTGTGGCTTTTTTGTGTGTTGGCTTTTTTATGTTTGTTTGGCTTTTTTTGTTTGCTTTTTTGTTGGCTTTTTTTTTTGTTGTGGCTTTTTTATTGTGGCTTTTTTTTGTGTTGTGGCTTTTTTATGTTTGTTGTGGCTTTTTCTTTGTTATTGTGGCTTTTTTGGTTTTGTGGCTTTTTTTTTTTTTGGCTTTTTTGTTGTTGGCTTTTTTTGGTGTCTTGTGTTTTGTTTGGTGTGTTGTGGCTTTTTTAAAATGTTTTTTGTGGCTTTTTTTGGTTTGTTGTCGCTTTTTTTTTGGTGTGTTGTGGCTTTTCGTTGTGTCGTCGCATTTGTATTTGTTGCGGCGTTTGCGTTTGTTGTGACTCCTGTCGGCTTCCGTAATTTTAAGTTGAAACTGTTTTCTGTCTTAAGTTAAATAGTTTGTAAAGAACTTTTATTTGTAGATAAATGTGTAAACGGCCATAAATATCAAACTAATTCAATCTTATCCGGTTTTCTTGATGTTTCCCCAGGCCGTGGTCTCACCGGTGCTCTGGAAAACCCCGGGGTTACAGCCGCAGTATCTCCCAGCGAAGGCCTCCATCATGCGGTCGATCTTCTGAGCTTCTCCCGGCAGCCTGAAGCTCCACAGGAACTGCCTCAGAGCCTGGACCAAGTTCAGGTCTGAGAACTCGTGAAGAGCCACGAACGACTGAAGCACGGAGATGTTAAAGTCGTCCCTGGAAATGTGAGGACAACGAGAAAAGTCAGATGAAGCAGGAGATCAGATGAGGAGAGAGAGAGCAGAGGAGAGTCAGAGGAGAGGAGAGAGAGAGGAGAGGTCAGAGGAGAGTCAGAGGAGGAGGAGGAGAGAGAGAGAGGAGAGATCAGATCAGGAGAGAGAGAGAGGAGAGAGAGGAGAGAGGAGAGAGGAGAGAGAGAGAGAGGAGGAGGAGAGAGAGAGAGAGAGAGAGAGAGGAGAGAGGAGAGGAGAGGAGGAGGAGAGGAGAGGAGAGAGGAGGAGGAGAAGAGGAGGAGAGGAGAGAGAGGAGAGGAGAGAGAGGAGAGGTCAGATGAGAGAGGAGAGGAGAGGAGAAGAGGAGAGGAGAGGAGTGTGTCAGATTCACCTCTCTCCCAGATAGTCCCCGATGGCGGTCTTGTTAAGCCCCTCCCCTTTGTAGAGAAAGCGAGCGATGTCGTCACTGGTGTTTTTCAACAGGCCGCTGTCAATCAAAAACCGGATCCCCTGAAACAGACACACGGTTTTAGTGACCTCATGATCTGTACAGTAATCTAAAGGTGCACTGTGTAACTTTTTGGTGAGGGTGTTACCAGGATACACTCTCCTTATTCATGTGCAGGTTAAGGCACTGAGGTTTGTATTTAAACCAGTAAAAGAGCAGGTTCCGTACTGCTCCTTTAACCCCACTAGGACTGCACAATGCCCACGTTTACATGATGTTTTTTAATTCCGAATTAATAGTTTTGAATTAAAATACTCTTCTTCAAGTTTACATGGAAATAATTAGCGATGGGCATTCGATTAAATTTTCTTAATCGATCGTCGGAAGAATTAACGATCGATTATCGATTAATCATTAACGTTTTTATATTAAAATGATCATCATTATTATTACTATCTGCACTAATCTGCATAAATAAATTCAACTTTACGACATATAAACCGTAACGACTCTAGAGCCACATCAGCTGTTTGACATTATAATGTGTTTAATTCAGTTTTGTTCAAATCTCACAGAAACAAAACTTAAAACCACATCACTAATTTACATAAACTAAGTGAAGATAAAACTCCAGCTCTTGTGTCGCTGATGTGGTTCAATTTCTGTCAGATTAAAAGACATGACTCAGGTGAATACAGGTCAGTGTGACCAGATTTGTGTTTGTCAAAACCAGGACAGCGTACGGGGGGAGGGGGGCGGGGACTCGTCATCCACATTGAGCGACTCTCACCTGGTAAAACTTTTTCCCACTGGACACAGAAACATATGTGCTGCTTTATACACTGTGCACATGGACTCACACTTGTCCCAACGCAACGGAAAGTGTGGAATTTCTTGTACAAATCATTGTTAAATATGCATTTAAATACACATTCAGTTCGTTACAGACTGACCCACTGTTTGTGTCTCGCTCCTTCTGATGCAGAGACACATGTACACACCTGTTTGGTCACGACACACACAGCAACATACATTCAGTTTGTCGATTAAAATTAACGTAATCGGTGAAATTCTTAATGATCAATTATCGATTAATCATGCCCATCCCTAGAAATAATAATTACAAATTGAGGTTTACATGGAAAACACGTTAAATCGTCTTCATTTAATTCCGTTCAGTGTCTGGGGGTCAGAAAGTGTTTTTTTTTTCACATTGACCGGAAGAAAACAAACACTTCAGCTGCTACCGGCTTTTTTTGCTACTCGGTTTGTCGTTACGCCACGGACACAAACACGATCCAAACTTTTTTCCGCAGTCGTTCCAATAATAATTGCGCAGCAGCTGGAGAATTGTCTCATCACACTTTACGTCTGTCGGCTGAGGAGGAGAAGGGAAGAGCGTCGGAGAAGGAGGAAGAAGACAAACTGAGCGTGAGGCTGATCTACCTCAGCCCACATCCCACATCCCGCTCACAAATCCAAAGAGACGTGGAGGAAAGTCCGAAGCCACGACTGGTGGAGCCGGATCATTCAGATCGTGTCAGACGGGCGACCAAACGAGCACGCGCTGAACGACCGCAATTAATTTTAAGAAGAATAAACATTTACATCATCGAGGAATAAATTAATTCGGCTTTAAAATCAGAATAAACCACCCACTGACTTCGGAATTAAGTTTAATTCCGAATAATCATTAAAGTTAAATGAAGTGCTTACACGGTCTTTTCAAAGCAGAATTAATTTTTATTCAGAATTAAATTATTTTTATTAGGAATTAAATTATTTTTATTCGTAATTAAAGCGCTCATGTAAACGCGACAAATGTTGGGGAGGAAAAGACGTACTGCAGCTGTGATGTGTGTTTAAAAAGTCTGCACATTGTAAATAACTCCAGGAAGATTTATTGTAGAAATCTAAACTTCAGGTACAACAAGATTTTTCTATAAAAGGACAGGGACAGAGATATTTTGGTATGAGTAATTCTGTCCAGGAAGGTTTCACAACAAAATGAAAACTGAATTCTGTCAACTGGACAAACGTTTGTCCATTCCTCAAAGTGGCTTCTTCAGTTCTCACAGAGTTTTATAAATCACTGCCTTATATCTGTCTGAAAACTGCACTGAAATAAATACATCCTGTTTACAGTAAATATCTGTTATTATTGAAGCAGATTTTGCTCAGGACATTCGACTGTCTACATATGTGTAGGCCGAACCCTGCGCTTTTAAATTTACTGTGAACTCTTGTATGTCTTGGTAAAGGTCGAGCTGCTTTCAGGAGTAGGGATGGGCATGATTAATCGATTAATCAATAATTGATCATTAAGAATTTCATCGATTACGTTAATTTTAATCGACAAACTGAATGTATGTTGCTGTGTGTGTCGTGACCAAACAGGTGTGTACATGTGTCTCTGCATCAGAAGGAGCGAGACACAAACAGTGGGTCAGTCTGTAACGAACCGAAGCACAAATGTGGATTTAACGATGATTTGTACAAGAAATTCCACACTTTCCGTTGCGTTGGGACAAGTGTGAGTCCATGTGCACAGTGTATAAAGCAGCACATATGTTTCTGTGTCCAGTGGGAAAAAGTTTTACCAGGTGAGAGTCGCTCAATGTGGATGACGAGGCCCCGTCCCCCTCCCCCCGTACGCTGTCCTGGTTTTGACAAACACAAATCTGGTCACACTGACCTGTATTCACCTGAGTCATGTCTTTTAATCCGACAGAAATTGAACCACATCAGCGACACAAGAGCTGGAGTTTTATCTTCGCTTAGTTTATGTAAATTAGTGATGTGGTTTTAAGTTTTGTTTCTGTGAGTTGCACAAAACTGAATTAAACACATTATAATGTCAAACAGCTGATGTGGCTCTAGAGTCGTTACAGTTTATATGTCGTAAAGTTGAATTTATTTATGCAGATTAGTGCAGATAGTAATAATAATGATGATCATTTTAATATAAAAACGTTAATGATTAATCGATAATCGATCGATTAAGAAAACTTCATCAAGTGCCCATCCCTAGTCAGGAGTTTGGCTTTTTGAACTTAAACTAATTTTTTAAATCACCTTCTTGGGGTCCATGTTGAACTTCTTGCGGCCCACAGCCATCTGTTTGTTCCTCTGCATGTTCTTCCTGAAACACAAACACGACTTCAGATTTACATAAACAGTAAAAGTAAAGTAAAAGTAAAAGTATGAGAGACACGGAAGAGGAGGATGAAGGAGGAAGAGGAAGAAGAGGAGGAGGAGTATGACAGGAGCAGGTTATGTAACTGTCCCTGTGGGTTTAAGGACATGATTCAAACATGTCCGCCGGCTCGTCTCTCGTGTGAAGAGCTGATCTCGCTGAAGGTGAAGAGGATCAGGCCATTTTCACAGTGGATCTATTAAACACATTCTGCCTCTGAGCTGCGGCAAAGGTCACGATTATTCATCATTCTAAAAAAAAACCCGTGTAGAGCCTGGAATGTTTCACAATATGACACGAACCGGCTTTACTTTACATTTACGTCTGTCTCCAGTGGATTTACTCACGTCACGCTTTCACGCACAACCATACGCCAGTGTCTTGCCCGAGGACGCAACAACAGTATTCACCTTTGACCTTTTTCCTTCACTCACCGTTCTTCAGACTGCCCCAGGTTTTCTATCTCGCTGGTCACCTCCGCGATCTCATCCTTCAGCCTCTGCAGAAACACACAAAAACACGACATTTAAAAACATTATACGCAAAAAACAGAAAGACTTTTATATATTTTTATATTTTTTAGTGTGAAACTTTTGTGACGTAATTGTTCTTGGGAATATCCGTTGTAGGTTTCCCTGGGCAAAAATCCTTGTGTTGATTAATCTTGAACTTCAGTTGGATTTTTTTTTTTTGTCATTTAAAGGTGAGCTGTTGTAGTCAAGACCGTATTAATCGAGACCAAGACCTGTCCCAGACCACAGGATCCTGAGACCGAGACAAGACCGAGACCTCTGAGGGTCGAGACCGAGACAAGACCGAGATCTCTGAGGGTCGAGACCGAGACAAGACCGAGACCTCTGAGGGTCGAGACCGAGACAAGACCAAGACCTCTGAGGGTCGAGACCGAGACAAGACCAAGACCTCTGAGGGTCGAGACGAGACAAGACCAAGACCTCTGAGGGTCGAGACCGAGACAAGACCAAGACCTCTGAGGGTCGAGACCGAGACAAGACCAAGACCTCTGAGGGTCGAGACCGAGACAAGACCAAGACCTCTGAGGGTCGAGACCGAGACAAGACCGAGACCTGTCCGAGACCACAGGATCCTGAGACCGAGACAAGACCGAGACCTCTGAGGTCGAGACCGAGACAAGACTGAGACCTCTGAGGGTCGAGACCGAGACAAGACCGAGACCTCTGAGGGTCGAGACCGAGACAAGACCGAGAACCTCTGAGGGTCGAGACCGAGACAAGACCGAGACCTCTGAGGGTCGAGACCGAGACAAGACCGAGACCTCTGAGGGTCGAGACCGAGACAAGACCGAGACCTCTGAGGGTCGAGACCGAGACAAGACCGAGACCTCTGAGAGTCGAGACCGAGACAAGACCGAGACCTCTGAGGGTCGAGACCGAGACAAGACCGAGACCTCTGAGGGTCGAGACCGAGACAAGACCGAGACCTCTGAGGGTCGAGACCGAGACAAGACCGAGACCTCTGAGGGTCGAGACCGAGACAAGACCGAGAAATCTGAGAGTCGAGACTGAGAAAAGACCGAGACCTCTGAGGGTCGAGACCGAGACAAGATTAAGACTTTTAAAGGCAGGATGTGGCGGCATCACCACACCACCACCTGCTCTCGAACATGGAGGGAGTTTGCCTGGAAGAACCTGATTCGATTCTTTATTACACCTAAATTAAAGAGTAAGCAGTTAAGGATACATCAAATGTGTTGGCGGAAATGTGGAGAGATTAATGTAGACCATTCTCATATATTTTGGAATTGTGCAAATATTACTGTATTTTGGGAGATGGTTTGTGATGTACTGGGGCAGGTGCTGGGATATACTGTCCCTTTGTCGCCTGAACTGGTCTATCTATGCAACTTCTCAGAAAAACATTATTCACCAAGGCGATATATATCTTTTCAAAGTCATGTCATTAGCGGCCAAAAAATCAATAAACAGGAACTGGGGCACAACTTCTGTGCCTTCAAAGGATCAGTGGACATCTACAATAAAGGACATATATCTAATGGAAAAGATAACTTATAGACTGAGGTTGCAAGAGGCACAAATGAAGAAGAAATGGGAAAAAATGGACATCATATATGCAAAAGTAGAAATAATCAGTGTCACCTAGGCTTCTGTTTTTGTTTATTTCCTTCCATTGTCATTATTATTTCTCCTCTTTTTATATTTTCTTATGTTTACAAACCTGTCAAATATAATAAAAATAAAGTGATAAAAAATAAAATAAAAAAAGAAAACTACCACTACATGACATCACAAGGTGGAACAAAGTATTTTGATCTTTAAAGATGTAGACAGACTAATAATAAAGGATTACTCAAACAAACAAAACAAAACAAAAAAAAAAAAAAAAAAAAGACTTTTAAAGGCTGAGATCAAGGCCAAAACTACGGCCCATCAAGCCCAAATCAAAACCATCTTTGTAATTTTTGACATTTATTTGTATTTCACAGTTATGTTGGTATATTTATATCAATGTTTTTATAGATCTATCTCCATTCTATCTGATTAATGTTCATTTAAGCTTAAAATAAACCAAGTTAACTGTACGACACTGAAACTCTTTGCCCTTTTTTTGGACCCTCACCGACAGTTTGAGAACCTCTTCTTCAAGAGAACACTGGAACTTTACAGAAAGTGAAGAAAGCGGGAAGAATTTTTAAACCTGCTCAAGTTTCTAAAAGGAGTTAGATTCTCTTATAGGTTTAGCAGTGGGATTTTCCAGCCTCTGAACATTTACCAAACACACGCTGTGATAAATACAGATGCATTTGTGCACTTTTAAAAACTTCAAACACATGTTGCAGTAGATCTGCTGCTTTGTGCCAACACTGTCACATCATTTTGGATTTTTTGGATCTTTGCTCCACTTTTCGTCTTGCTCTTTTATCAGCACTGAGGAGGAAGCCGATGTGCGAGTGGGGACGGTGTGTGAAAAAGCTGAGGAGCAGTGCTGACGTGAGGCGGACGGACAGGCAGGATGTTTGAAAAAGTTTAACCTGCCCTGTGATACTGTCCGCAGCACCTCGAGTCCCAGACAAGACCAAGACCGGTCTCCAGTACGACACTAGTGCACTGTAACTGAACTTTTTGGTTGGTTGGGGGTCTGTCACCTTCTTGTATCCATGGATACGTCATTGCTTTACCTGGAATGTTCCACAGTGTGACATTAAACAGCTCTACCTTACATTTATTCAATTACAGGTGGATTTAAAGCTCAAAAATACCTAAAAAAACAGACATTCAGGCATTTTGACTGTGAGTGCGGTGGCCTCTCCACAGATCTGACCTGTAACTTGGTCTGGTTTGGTCTTCATGAAGATAGAAAGGTTTAATGCCACACTGTGAGAAAAGTTAAGTTAATATATGGTTTTTTTTGTGGTAAATTGCATCATCCATTAACTTTTTGTGCAATATTTGAACCTCTACCAAGGACATTTCTGATCAATTAAAAATATATGATGTAAGTTTTGTTATCATTTTAGAAAAAAATAAAGGGATTTGTTATTTTTGTCAGTTTTCTTTGGTATGTACAGTTATTTTCTTTGCAAATTGCTTCCTTCTTCTTCTTCTTCCCACTTTGATGGGGTTTAAAGCCTCCGTCAGGCCTTTGATCCACTTTGAGTCCACAAACAGGGTCCTGGTCTAGATCTGGGTCAGGACTAACCCGAGGAGGAGGGGAGGGGGCGCGGCGGTCCAACGTGACCCCGCAACAGGTGCTCGGTCCCGGGGTGGATCTGAGCCGAGGGAGGGTCTGCTCCACATACCTCCAGGGTTTAACCATGTGTCCACAGACCCAGAGTGGAGCAGAGTTTGTCTCAACACAAATAACTTCAAAGTCAAGATCACTCAAGTTCAACTCAATTCAAGGGTTTAGTTTCTTTTTTTTTTTTTTTTCCCAACAAAAAAAAAAAAAAAACTGCGGGAGGATTGTGTCACTTTTCTGGTGAAGGGTCCATCAAATGCTTTTCTCCATGGAGATGTTTTGATTTGTCTGGAATGTTTCACAATCCGTGTATCGTTTGTTCATTCGTTTTTCAAAATAAAACCAGAAATAAGAAAACAAAAAAAACATCTATTGTCTTCATTATTTGTCTCCAAAACCAAAATGAAAAAAAAACAACAAACAGATAACAGCCGTTTCCCGTTTCCGTGATTTAAACTGCGATGCTGGACTGAACCAGGTCTGAACCAGGTCTAAACCAGGTCTGAACCAGGTCTAAACCAGGACTGAACCAGGTCTAAACCAGGTCTGAACCAGGTCTAAACCAGGTCTGAACCAAGTCTAAACCAGTACTAAACCAGGTCTGAACCAACCAGGTCTGAACCAGGTCTGAACCAAGTCTAAACCAGGTCTTAAACAAGTCTAAACCAGGTCTGAACCAAGTCTAAACCAGGTCTAAACCAGTACTAAACCAGGTCTAAACCAGGTCTAAACCAGGTCTAAACCAGGTCTGAACCAGGTCTGAACCAGGTCTGAACCAGGTCTAAACCAGGACTGAAAAAGGTCTAAACCAGTACTAAACCAGGTCTAAACCAGGACTGAACCAGTACTAAACCAGGTCTAAACCAGGACTGAACCAGGTCTACACCAGGTCTAAACCAGGTCTAAACCAGGTCTAAACCAGGTCTAAACCAAGTCTGAAAAAGGTCTAAACCAGTACTAAACCAGGTCTAAACCAGTACTAAACCAGGTCTGAAACCAGTACTAAACCAGGTCTGAACCAGTACTAAACCAGGTCTGAATCAAGACTGAACCAGGTCTGAACCAGGTCTAAACCAGTACTAAACCAGGTCTGAATCAAGACTGAACCAGGCCTAAACTGATCTTAATCCTGGTCTGGTCCCGATCTAGTCCCGGTCTCAATCCTGATCTTGCCCCGGTCTGGTCCCGTTCTCAGTTCTGGTCTCAGTCCTGGTCTGGTCCTGGTTTAGTCCTGGTTCAGTCCGGCATCGCCGTTTAAGTCACGTTAACGGGAAACGATCACTATCCGTTTTTTTTTTTCCATTTTTCATTTAAACACAAAATCGAAAAACTGAAAAAACGAATCATTATCAGTTTTTTCATTTTGGTTTTGGAGACAAATAATGAAGAAAATAGTTGGTTTTTCGTTTTCTTATTTTTGGTTTTATTTTGAAAAACGAATGAACGAATGATACACGGATTTTTCACTGTATGGCATTAAACCTTTCTGTTTCCATGGAGATCAAACTAGAAGTTACGGGTCAGATCTGTGGAGAGGCCACCCCGCTCACAGTCAGAATGTTTGTTTTTCTAGATATTTTCGAGCTTTAAAACCACCTGTAACTGAATAAATGTAAAGTAGAGCTGTTTAATGTCACACTGCGGAACTTTTGAGAGCAGAGCGACGATAAATCCAGAGAAACAAGTAGATTTTTTCTTTCTTAAAAACGTAAAAAAAACTAAACTAGTTCCTTTTTAAAGAGTTTGCAGTGGTCCAAAGTTCTTCCTTCTGCATGCATGGCGTCCTAAATACTCACAAAGATGAGTTTATACGAGCTTTTCACGACTTTCAGAGACCAGAGTGGTACAACTAGTATGCTAAAAGCGCACTTCCTGATTCTCTGACCCCTAAATAATCTTTATAATTCGATGCAGACGGTGCACAGTGGACTTATTTTGACCTCAATCTCTGTTCTGGGCAATTTCCGGGTTGGACTTTGCTTTTGGGCAGTGATCTCCACAGAGGAACCCCGTGTCCCAAACAGAAATAAAAACCCTCCATACTCCTCCCACGCGCTCACAGGGTCATATATGTACAGCGGCATGTGAGCGCCTCCCACGGCATGCTGGGAAGTGGAGTCCTACAGGGCACGGGCGGAGAACAAAGGCACGTACAGAGAGGACGATACAGAAACGCCGCGGGGAGTGAAACTGAAACATGCGCAGGCAAAAACAAAAGCACTTTAGATGAGATTCTGCAAGAGGTCGGTTGGAGTGTGGCCCTTAATAAGAACGTCTTATGTTCTACTGAAACACTCCTATTTCAAGTTCAGCACGTGTATTTTTTATTTAGTGTTGTTCTGATACCATTTTTTTGGGGGTGGGATCCGATCCGATACCAACAGTTTTGTTACAGTACAAGAAAAATAAATAAATCTATTCAAAGGCCGTTTCTAAAGAAAGTCTACAGAATAAATGTGATTTTGAGAACTAATTGAGTCAAATACATCATGACCATAAGTAGTGCTGATTTAAGCATTTATACTTTTATAATTCGTTACTTTCTATGAATAAAACAGCAGTGAGGCCTGTAAAAACACGCACGAGGATAATTCTGCACGGTAAACAAAGTCTGAGTTTGCACTTTTGCCGGGCTGCAATATCCTGATTCATCAGCCGATTTCACTTCGTGGAAACAGTCTGACCTCGCAGCATTAGGATTCGTTCGCTTGACGGTAAGGCAGGTACTTTTTTTATTTAACCAATCGCTGCTGTTTGGTTGTGTTGTATGTAATGCGGCAAATCCATAGGAAGAAGGACAATAACGTCTTTCCCCTTGATAAAATTCACAAAACATTCTCTTTGTTCCGGCTTTAAATCCTCGATCTCGGGAATCGTCGCCAACACAGAATGTCTGTCTTCGTCTACATCCATCTAGACGCTTTGTTTACTGTTGTGCTGTTCCACAGAAGGGACACAGACAGACGTGACGAGTTTGACGTCATGACTTCACAGCTCACAGCTGATTGGCCGATGTGCGCGGCCTACAACTCCCGGGGTTCCTGCAAAGCGTCTAGTGCAGAGGTCAACCTTTTGCCTCTGGTGAGCTTCCTACAAAACAAAAATGTTGGAGAGCAACAAATTTCGATATAAGAACAAGTTTATTGCCTTAGATGTTGTACAGTTAGATACCTATAAAATATAAAACCATTATCCATTTATTTGTGCACAAAGTTCAAAATAACACATTTACAATGGTGCTGAATAACACAAATTTGATTACTGGATAATTACAGTATGTATAATGCAGAAATCCCTTTGTGAGCTACTTGTAAAGGGATAAAGAGCTACAGGTTGAAACCCCTGGTCTAGTCTGTTCTGATTCTTGACGTAGTCGCTGGAGAGAAACTAAAGTGAGCGGAGGCACTAGGTGGCGCCAGCCTGGATACAGCTCCACTCTCCATAGCTCAGTTTTTCAGCTAAATTCAACATCCACACCAAAGCATCACATCTACAGGTCCTCAGTGTGGATCGCTGATACCGATACCTGAAAAATATGGAGTTTTTGCCAATACCAGTATCAGTATCAGACCAGCCCTTGTGTTTTTATACATCTTTAGTAAAAGGACTACTATAACCAATCAGAGAAATACATAATGGTTTATGAATAAAAAGAAAAATATCACCAAACTATGACTTCATTTTGAAGAGGAGGTGTCTTCTGTGTTTGTGAGACGTGACACAGATGAGGACAGAACAGTGTGTTTGTGCTGGTCTCACCTGGATGTCCTGGAGCAGTTCTTCTTTACGTCGGCGAATCGACTCCAGCTCCTTCTTCTCCTCTGGACTCAGGTCATCAGGGACTGTACACAACAACAGATACTTTAACTACTACTACTACTACTACTACTACTACTACTTTTACCATTACAGTCTTTAAGCATGGGGGACACAACACATATTTGAAAAACTTTTTTCCTTTTTTAACTTGTATGTATCCTGACATACACAGAATATACAAGAAAAAGCAGCCATGAGAGGTATAATACTCCCTACAACTGAAGCATAACCAGACTGGAATGGAAAATGCCCTTACAATGTCTTCTAATACTATTATAACAACTACAACAACTACTACTACTACAACTACTACTCTACTACTACAACTACTACAATTACTACTACTACAACTACTACTACTACTACTACTACTACTACTACACTACTACTACTACTACTACTACTACTACTACTACTACAGTACTACTACTACTACAACTACTACAACTACTACTACTAGCTACTACTACTACTACTACTACTACTACTACTACTACTACTAGCTACTACTACTACTAACTACTACTACTACTACTACTACTACTACTACTACTACTACACTACTACTACTACTACTACAGCTACTACAACTACTACTACTACTACTACTACTACTACTAGCTACTACTAGCTACTACTACTACTACTACAATTACTCCTACCACTACCACTACTACTTCTTTTAATACTCCTCCTCAGAGGATAATATTCGTCATTCAGCCTCGTTTTAGTGAAGTGGTGATTTCACTGAACGTCGACAAGTGAAGAAAAGAGACTTATTCTTTTCTGATGAGAAATAAAAATACATGTTCGGTCTCCATAGTAACTCGTCCACTAATTTGCCCCAAACATTCAACCATTTCAAAAGAGAAAATCCACGTTCTTTGTCTTTGCGCAGACATTTCAGAACCATAATTTCAGCTAAAAATCAGCCCTGTGTAATTTGGTTTGGCTCCGCTCTGGAAAAACAGCGCGTTTAGAAAAAAGGGAGCTAAAGTTCAGTTTTCTTTGAGGACACTGGAGCTTTAAAGATGCACTGTGTAACTTTCTGGTGTGGAGTCCGTGACCTGCTCATCTCCATGGTTACTACTTCACTGTAGTTGCATTTATTGATCATACGTTGCCCCAGATGTTTCTCCACATGTTCTTCATCATGTTGAAATCAAGGCAAATTTGATTATGTTGCCACGGTTTGATCATAGAAACACAAATCTAAATAAAAATACTTAAAATAAATTAAAAAGTTGCCAATTTCTGCTTTAAAAACACAGAACTATTTCAGAACTTGTTTAAAGCTGCATTGTGTAACTTTTCTGGAAAGTGGAGGGTCTGTCAAAATCTTTTCTGCTCATTTATGGAAAAAATCATTATCACGATTATTCAAACGATATTTTTTTTTAGTTGCGCGATGTATTTATTCAGCATTTCTCTCTCAAAAAAACACTTTGTTATTGATACTTTACACAAAACATTCAAATTGAAAATAAATACAGGCTACAGATGTGAACCTAAAACATAAAATGAATAAAATAAACTTTGAACATGAAATAAAACATAGAAAATGTAGAGAATGTATCCAAAATAAACTATATATCCAGCTCTTCTACAATAAAAATGAAATATACTGTATTTTTGAGACTATAAGTGTCACTTTTCTCATGGTTTGGGTGTTTCCTGTGACTTATACTCCGGTGCGACTTATATATTAAAATGTTTGAGTGAAGTGTGGAGAGGCTCTAGTCTTGTGTGTGAGTATCTGCTGCTCCTGTTCCTCCTGTGCCACTGTCACTTGGCTCTACTGCGCATGTCTCCTGCAGAAAGAGCCTCTGTCCTGCTGCAAGTCGTGAAATCTGCAGCTGAAAATGGAAATCAATCAACAGAAAGAAAGTTTGGAGTGAGAGAGAAACTTGTGACACCGGGAGGATGCACCATGAAACTTTCCTGAAGTCACTGGATGGATGGACAAAGTCTGGACTTCAGTGACACTGAAACCATCCTGTCGGGATTCAGAAAGACCAGAATAATTCTAACTGGAACTGATGCTGAGTCTGACGACAGCGACACAGAAGAGTTTGCGTCGCTCTGTTTACCTCCGGAGGTCGTGGAGTTGTTCAGAAGTGACACCGAGGATGAAGAATTGAATGGATTTAGTGATTTGGAGTGAGATGGAGAGTTTGTTAAACTTGTTCTGTTCTGTTTGTTTGCATTGTTATTATTAGTTTATCTGAAGAACTGTTCATATGTGACGTTAACAGTCTGTTGTTCTCTCTTCTGTTGTTTTTACTACAACTTGACTTTAAAAACTGCGACTTATATATGTTTTTTTCTTCTTCATTACAATTTTTTGGCTGCTGCGATTTATACTCCAGAGCGACTTATAGTCCTAAAATACGGTACTTATTTATATAAAAAATATCCCAAAATAAACTTTGTTAAGCTTTAAATCATTTCAACTCAATTGTATGAGTTTGTCTGACACACAAAATGAAATCAAAATCCAATTAATTGCACAGCCTTATTTCACAATATGGCGTTAAACCTTTCTATCTCCATGGAGACCAAACTAAACCAAGTTACAGGTCAGATCTGTGGAGAGGCGACCCGGCTCACAGTCCGAACGTCTGTTTTTCTGGGTATTTTTGAGCTCTAAAACCACCTGTAATTGAATAAACGTAAAGTAGAGCTGTTTAAAGTCACACTGTGGAACATTCCAGGCAGAGCAGGTGACGGACGCCCAAGTAAAAAGTTCCACAGTGCAGCTTTAAAACTACTGTGACTTGATAAACCTTAATCAGAAAGAGGAAATTGCCGTAAATTTCACCATAAATAACGTCACATGAATAAAAATAAACGGTTGAAGTCATTTGCAGTTCTGAGTGTAAATTGCATCAGATTTGCACGTTGCATCAGACACAGTGTAGAGCCTCCCCCTCCACACACACAGGGTGGAGTGAGTCTGCAGACCGGCGATAAGCCACAGACCACAGACTCTGATTCGATCAATGAGTTTTTTCCGTCGGTTCGGTTTATGAAGGAGAAGAAGAGAAAGTCTGTGGTAGTTTTCAGAAGCACAAAGTCTTACATCAGTTACAGAAGATGGATTTTTACGCCCAGAGCGAGAACGTTCAGAAAAAAGAACTGGATTTCGAGGAACAAACATAAAACCGTCACTAAATAAAACTCTATTACACTTAAACAGACTTACTATTAAGGCTGTGAAATAAATCGAATTTTGATCGCGATTTCGATTTGTGCGTCAAACGATTTCCAGACTCTATAAAGCTTCACAAAGTTTATTAGCAGCTGCATATATAGTTTATTTTGGATATATTTAAGTTTTTCTGTGTCTTATTTCATGTTCAAAGTTTATTTTATTCATTTTATGTTTTATACGTCGCAAATCTGCTCTGAGGTTCATATTTGGAGCTGATATTTATTTAAATTTTTTGAAAGTTTTGCGTAAATTATCAATAACTAAGTGTTTGGGAGTTTTTTGAGAGAGAAATGCTGAATAAATGCATCATGTAACTAAAAAAAATAATCGTTTGAATAATCGTTATTTCAGTATTGACCAAAATAATCGTGATTATGATTTTTTCCATAATCGAGCAGTCCAACGTACTACACAGAGAAACAACTTGTGCACTGTGGAACTTTCTAGTGGAGGGTCCGTCACCCGCTCGTCTTCATGGAAATGTTATTACTTTGTCTAGTTCAGGGGTGTCAGACTCATTTTGTTCCGGGGATCATATCCAACCTACTTTGATCCCAAAGTGTCCGGATCAGAAAACTCATGTCAAATAAACCCCAAAAATAACAATAAGTTCAAATGTTTGTGCAGAGAAACACAAATCTATTACAGAAACTCTTTCTTTTACAAAATATTATAATATTATGAACAACCTGAAACTTTAAGAGAAATGCAATTTCAACACCATGTTTTAACATTGAACCCTCTCAGGCTCAAATTAAATTTTAGTAACAGGAAAAAATCTGATATTTGGGGAAAATGATCATATGAGGTAGTAATATACAATCCTGATTTTTTTTTTTGAGAGAAACCTTCACATCCAATGAGTTCTGGGATGTTGTAGATTTGGTCCGGTGTGGTAAATTAACACTGAAGACTGAAAATGATATAAACGCTAATTTTATGTGTAAACCACTTTTCATAACAATGAAAACATAAAGCACAGTGTAACAGCTTTACAGTGACAGAACAACATCACTTTTTCGTGTGGTTCTCTCTCTAAGAAACAATTTTTATCCTTTGTAAACAAAAGTACTTTGCACTTCTGACAGGCCGTTTGTGTGTCACCGTTCTTGCACAGTCTGCATCATCCACGTTTATCAGCATGGATGGGAAAAAAGGCTCCTGAGCAAAAAAGGCTCTTAAAATATGGATTTGGAGTAAGTAGGTAATTGGCATTTAGCTGTTGCAAATCTGCAACGTCTGCCTGGAGAGGGTTAACTTGTTTGCAAATAGGAATAAGTCAATTTTTCTTGTAAAATCCTGCGCTCAGCTCCACTTTTCTCACTTTTGGCCTTTTTGCTGATGAGGGTGTCACGGTCAACAGTCAAAACGATCGTCCTTTAAGAGCGTTTGGAAAGAGACAAGTCTTCATTTGTGCTGCTCTGGTGGGAGGGGCCACGTACAGAGACGCTGCTCTGCTCAACACAGCAGAAAATTAACAATATTTTAATAGAAAATAAAATTACAATATTTTAGTAGAAAATCAGCCGAGGGCCAGATTAAAGGTCTTGGAGGGCCGGATCCAACCCCCGGGCCTTATGTTTGACACCTGTGGTCTAGAATGTCCCACAGTATGGCATTAAAAGTATCTACTTCCATGCGGACAAGCAGAGTTACATCTCAGATTTCGTTTTTCGTGTCGTTTTTGAGCAGTAAAACTTCTGTAATTTAATAATTGCAGCATAGATGAGTTTAATGCCATACTGTGAAACCTCTCAGACAAAGCAAAAAGTTACACAGTGCACCTTTAAAACCGCTTCATTCAAACTG